TCATTTCTTGACCACCTTAACCACATGCGTTACGTATTCTGATCATTGATGAGGAGGCCCGGCTCCTCCAGGCTGAAGCACTAAGAGGTCAGAAAAACTTTAGCATAACGTATTGGATTGTCAGACCATGACTGTCACATCGATTGGGGTAATTCGATGTTGGCGGGTCCCATCCGTCCTTATAAACCCATATTATGTTATCCCAGTATTTTTCTAAAGCTCTTACTCCCTTGCCATGAACTAGACCGAAAAGACCAAGGGCTTGGGTCATATTTCGAGGACGAGAAAGCGGGTGTGCTGCCAAGACCCAGCAAACACCGAGGAGACGGGTGCGAGACACCAATGGTGGCCAGCAAAAGATCTGGTGGCGCGTTCACATCTCCACTAGGATTTGGTGCCAAATGCCAGCCTTGGGAGGCCTTTCCGAAATCCTCTGTTAGTGGTCGGGAGCGCAAGCTCCCACCCGCGTGAAGGTGATTGATTACGTATTTCTTGGATACAGACAGAGCCGCCACCAATTGGAAGACAGTCTCGTTGAAGCAATTGCTTATTTTCAAGTATGGCCGTAACAAAAGCTGTGTTAACAGTCACAGCAAACCTTGCGTTACTTCTCCAGCCGCATATTGCCCAGCGACGGCCTCAAGGAGCATCAAATATGATGTCGTTCTAACCTGGCTGTTCGAAAGTTCAGCAGCAACGCTGTCCGTTCATGACGGCACCGGTACTCCTGAGAGACGCCGGACTTGACATCCACCTCAGTTTCAAATCCTAGTATATTATCACCTGGCTGCATACTAAGTCACTCAATGTCGCCCAAACCCAAGTGAGATCACCCCCCACCCCCCCCCCCCCCCCCCCCCCCCCCCCCCCCCCCCCCCCCCCCTTCCCCCGGCAATACAGGTATAGATTCGTCCGATCAAGCATGATACGCTGATTAATGCTAATGATGCCTGCTATTCCATACTCATATTCTCCTCCCCTGCTTCTTGAATCACTGGTCCATCGCGTACATGGATTCTACGAGGGCACTTGCATGGGTTGCTACAGGTCAGCCTGCTGCAAGGAGTGTATGTGGCTTCTCTGCCGACCTTTGTCGGTCAGAGGTGCCGGCCAAAGTGCTATCGCGACGTGCAATAACCGCTCACAGTATGAGAACTCTGATGCTACTGTCGTCAGTGAGCATCGAGATGCACAGCCTGGCTGTGGGATGGGGGTTGAGTAACATCCCCTCGCCCATGCGGGTCGTTGGGGCCAGGAGGTCGGGGCCTTGGGACTTGGGTTGTCCTACAGAGGCCTAGAACCTGCCGGCTGATCCTCCGTAGAGAATCAGGAAAGGCTCGCTAACATGCGGCTATGTCGGCTTCGTGTATGGCAACAATATTGCAGTCGAGGGGAGTATGGTCTGTGGGGGGTTGTCGGGGGAGGGGGCGTCGCTGGTGTCTAGTCGAGTGTCGCCCCCTTTTCAATTCTATCACAAATCGATAAAACTCTCGTGCGAACCGAAGCAAGAAGAACCGTTTCCGCTCATGGTCGAGTTGGTTCTTCGGTAACTGCCCCTATGAGATTCCCTTGACAGCTGAGCCTTGCTGATATGATGGGCTAGGACGAAAGATCGTGCGAAAGAGATAAGCAGAATTTTCCTTTATAGAGGCACCATTTCAAGAGTAGAAGTACTTAAAACCGAGCGTGTTTCTCAAATGTTCTAGTGGCGGATTGCGGCCTGGGTTCGGCTTGGATTTCCACACTGGCGATTCCATACATTGCCACAGCCAATTTGAGTTTTCTTTGCATCTTGGCGTAGCAATCTTCTGGTCCCAACTCATGTCTGAAAATTTCTTCAATGAAACTCTCAGTTTTAGAACATTCTTAGTAATTCTATGCAGAGGAATGCTTTCGTTCTCTACACTCGGGGGTAGCAAGAGTCGCAATTTTGACTGTGGTGAGCCCCCTTTTGACGACCTGATAGATTCCCTTACATTATTCCAGGATTCTGTGCGGGAAACTTGTGACACAAATTTCCAAACAGAAAGAAAAAACAACTAAATCTGCATAAGACTTGCTCATGCGTAAGCACCTGCTAGAATAAGGCATGTCGAACGACATGGAGTCGTGGCCATACAGGGCGATGATGATACTGAGGTCAGCATTAATGCACTATCCGATCGTGTCTCTGTGCATGTTGAACAACGCAAATGGAATAGAGGTGTAGTAGATGTCTACTTATCATGATATTCACCGACACAGCAGCATGATGGATGTTGCTCAAAGTTTGAAACCCGCCCAAGGAAGCTACAGTTCCATTCAAGTTGGACGAGACAGTTCCAGGGGATTGCTTACGGTAAAGTTCCGTCCTCATTCAATATACTATGCAAGTGTTTTCCAAGCCTTGTAAATATCCAAAGTGTCTTAGTGGTGTCTCTGCGTCACCGCCATTCGTTGTAGTGAGACTCGGTGACACTAGAGCCAGCAACACTCTCGCCACTATTCGGTGAGGGACTCTGATCACACCCTGACCGAGCTGACCGAAGTCGGCAGTGTCCGGAGTTCGGCTTCTTTCGGCTTCCCCACCCTGGAGCAGCCGCCAATTTCAAGAATCCACTGGTTCAATTCGGCATCAGTTCTGGGAGCCGGCTGCGGTGGAAGGCAATAGCGTCATTTTTTCAAGGTGCGCTTTCCTGGCACCAGGGCTGTTTTTGTCACTTTTCCACACCATTCACGATCTTGAATGCGATTTCGTTGTTTCATCACTTTGTATCATCATACAGGGCGCACACTTGCGTAACATGTATTCTTTCTTGTTGATACCCCTAGACTTTATTTTTTGTTAACATACTCCTCCAGCCACGATGCGCGGTGCGGGATCTTCGCTCCCCCTCCGCCAACTTAGGGCGCTGCCAGTCGCTGCTGCTACCACCCGAAGCCTCCCAAGGCAGAACGCCCTCCGCCACTCACTATGTACATCTTGCCTCGCGACCCGAACCAATAACACCAGAGTCCGTCACTTTGCAGGTATTCCTAAGGAATGCTCCAGAAACGGAGGACAAAGGAGGGCTGCGTCGACGGTGGCAGCGGCGACCGAAGGAAACAGTGGTAGGTCTAGGAATACCACCGAGGACAGTGGCACAGGGGCTAAAACGAGGCAGTCTCGAAGGACCATCACGGTCCACTCCAAGAATATGACCGCCGGGTCGATGCAGGCATTTTGCGCAATGATGAGCACCAAAGAGGTATGAGACATTCCCTGTCGCAATGAACCGAGGATCACATGCTGACGCTCTGCAGGCATTATCCAAAGCCTTCAACACCTCCACGATGAGCTGGTCAACTACCACGCGCCCGAAGTCGTACACCCGACCCTCGAATCCTTGAAGCCCGCGAAGTCGATGTTTGGATCTTGGTTTGGCGGGGGCAAGGCGGCTCAGGCTACAATAGGCGCGATTCCGAGCAACCTACCCCGCGGCCTCTATCTCTATGGCGACGTTGGTAGCGGCAAGACGATGCTCATGGACCTCTTTTACGACACGCTGCCGAGCTCCGTCAAGACGAAGACGCGAATCCACTTCCACAACTTTATGCAGGACGTCCACAAGCGGCTACATAAGATGAAGATGCAGCATGGCAACGACGTCGATGCTGTGCCGTTCGTCGCGGCCGATATCGCAGCCAAGGGCAACGTTCTCTGCTTCGACGAGTTCCAGTGTACAGACGTGGCGGACGCTATGATTTTGAGAAGGTAAGTTGTGAAGCGGGGTGTGGTCTGGGAGCTTGAGCAGCGGCAACTGACGTACCGGCAGATTACTCGAATCGCTCATGTCGCATGGCGTCGTGTTGGTCACGACTTCGAACCGACATCCCGACGAACTCTACAAAAACGGGATTCAGCGGGAATCCTTCGTGCCGGCGATCAAGCTGCTTAAGAGCAGGCTCCACGTTATCAACCTGGACTCTCCGACAGACTACCGCAAGATCCCGAGACCCCCCTCTGGCGTATACCACACCCCGCTTGACGCCCATGCCAACTCCCACGCTGAGAAGTGGTTTCGCTTCCTTGGTGACCCGAGAACCCGGAGCCGCATTCGGAGGTGCAGAACGTCTGGGGCCGTGAAATCCACGTCCCGCGCGTTAGCGGTCGCTGCGCGTGGTTCACCTTTGACGAGCTCATCGGCAAGGCGACATCGGCTGCGGACTACCTCGAGCTGGTGCGCAACTACGACGCCTTTGTCATCACCGACGTGCCTGGTATGACGTACCGCCAGCGCGACTTGGCACGTCGCTTTATCACCTTCATCGACGCAGTATACGAGTCGCACGCGAAGCTAGTCCTGACGACTGAGAAGCCCCTGACGGAACTCTTTGTCTCGCGCGCCGAGCTTGAGGAGTCGCTGGAGAAGCAGGAGAAAAAGGACTTTGGCCAGAGTGATAACGCTGCGACGCACCTCCTGGAGGACCTGGACCACAATATCGACTCGATCAAGGGCCTTCAGGGCTTGTTCTCGGGCGACGAGGAGGCGTTCGCGTTTGCTCGTGCGCTTTCGCGTCTGAGCCACATGGGCAGCAAAGAGTGGGTTGAACGCGGTATGGGTTTAGAGCAGCAGGGCGGCAAGAAGGAACGCGACGACTGGGCCAAGGTCCGAAGTCGGCAGATGGAGGACAGCATGTAAGCGAATGTTGTTTGATGATGGAGAGCATACACCCGCTGGTTCGCGGGTTGAGCATGGGCATGGCTTTCTTCGTGCGGTTTTCACTCCACGTTTATTGGGTTGATGATTGTGTAACAGCGAGTCCGCATTGCAGGATACTCACATACCCAGCCGAGACAAAGTCGGCATAGAAGCCTTTTTTTCTTCTCTTTCTTTTCACATTCTCAGCATGGACTGGAGGCGTGCCACGGTTTCTGGAAATGATTTAGGTTTGATTTCACGTCTCTTGCGGCCGCGGCTACTCTCGTTGGCAACTCAGTACTTTCGATGAAATTCAGCGCCAACTCTGATACTACTCAGTTAGTAGATGCCCGGAATCAAAACCCACGGCACCTCCTTCTTGAACTGCGTCCACTGCTCCCCATACCGCTTCGAGCAGTATTCGTTCAACGCCGGCACGCCGCGCGTGAGGAAATCAACCGCCTGCCACACGCCCATGATGGTACCGCCAATGAAACCCGACGCGACCATGCAGTACCCAGCCCTCCACATGGCGTAGCCGCCATAGTTGATGTGGCGCGCCCAGCTCCAGAGACCGCTCTTGATGACCTTGCCCTTGTTTTCGGGCTTGTCCTTGAACTGCTTGCGCTGCCACTCAGAGGCGGTCTCGAGGAACATGCCGACGACGTAGAGGGCGCTACCGAGGACAACCTGGTAGGGCAGGGTGGTGCCCGGGAAGTCACGGGGCGAGGTGAGGACGGAGGTGGAGGCGGCAACGAGGAGAAGCGAGTTCGCGGTGTTGACGAGAGTGTTGTAAAAGCTCACACTGACAGCGCTCGAGACAGGGAACTCCTCGGCCGACAGGGCGACGAGCCAGTAGGCCTGCTTGACAAAGGAGCCGACGGACATGCCGAGGAGGATCAGGTGCGGCAGTGGGAGGCGAAGGTTGTCGAGGAGGGAGATGCCCGTCGTGGAGAGCGCGGCGACATTCAGCGGGATGGAGCGTACGCCAATCTTGCCGAGAATAGAGGCGCCCAGGCCGCCGGCGACGAGCTGGTATTGGAGGAACGGGTCGAGGCCGCGGAGGCCAAGGAAAGTAAGGGTGCCCGGCACATTAGGTTTCTTGACGCCGCGCTTGATCAGGTCGAAGTTCTTTCTCTCCGGTTTAGAGTCCGCCATCTTGTGGTCGGCAGCACTCGCTGGAGTATGATTCGGGCCCAAATGGTGTTTGTGTAGCTTCTGGTTTGCCGGTTCGAAGCCCGGGAGGTAGGGCAAAAGGCGCTGCGAGGTGTAGAAATAGATCTGAGAGATTAGACCATATCTTCATGCAGGGCAGCTACAGTGCTAGCCTGCAGGATGCAACTTGGGCTTTATACATGCGCGGGGATGGGATTGGGGAACATGCGGCGTTGTTGGGTGATATCATCGATTACCTGAGGACCAAGCTCGCCCGAGCCCGGTGTCCGTTCGCCTTAGCAATCTGCCTTGCGGGACAAGTGCTACACATAATCTGGCAGCAGGCTGTCAAATTCAGCAGCTAGGTTGGGGCTCGGACAAAGTTCAGAGGGCGAAGTCGCGATGCCCCGTTTAGAATCGCACTGATGCGCGCCCACAGTAGCCTGGCGGCTGGGATTCTCGTCCACCTCATCCTCCGTTTCGACCCTTTTCTAGCGTCAGGTAAGGTAAGCAATTCGAAAGTGGTGTCCGAGGGACCCTAAGGGACAGCGAGCAATCCAGTTACCTCGATGAGGGACTGGCAGGGGCCACAGCAAATGCGCCAAGAAAGAAACATCAAATCATGACGAAACGTAATCGCAGTTACTGCATAGGAAATCGGCAGGCGGATCCGAGACGTGTCGACCCACCCCGCTCTCCGACGTTCTCCGCGCGGGGGGTAAAAGATGGAAGGAGAGCAGGCTGTTGAATGGGACGCTATGCTGTAGATGCGTACAAAACCTTACCCAGGCTGCTCCTCAAGCACATGCGACCACACCCATTGGAGAACTCGAGATCCCGTCCGCTCTCTCATAGATAAACCAGTGAGGGCCAGAGTAGTAGTCGGGTCGGAGACGACCGGCGAATGCCTGGTGTTGCATGTCTTCTTTTTTGCATGATTTAGAACTCTCGGTAAAGCTATCTAGCAACAGTAACGGTCGCTTGCATCGGCCGGTTCATCTGAAGCTGGAGACGTTGCCAGTCTGCTGTCGCACATGGTAGCTGTCTCACGTTGCTCATTTCCTGTTTAAGCTTCTTCGCAGCTTTTGGTGGACTCGCCATCAACCTTCTGCATGTACAATGGAACGGTCCGCTGGAAAACAGACGTGCCTCATGCTTGATCCGAAAATTATTGCGGTTCCGTTGATTGATTCAGCTTGACTTGGAACCGAAAGGGTCGTTTTCACAGAGTGTTACACAATATCTGACATCTGGAAGAGAGAGAACTGGATGACGCGATGTCCGGATGACCAAACGGATATCCGCGGTACGTACCCGAGGCAAGGTACCCGCCCGATAGCATTCCTGGCGTCTGCTTGGCCAGTATGCCAGGCAACGCGGGGATGATGTGCGATTCGAGACAGGGGAGCTCCCCATAGCTGTCGCAGACCCCCTGGCGTCGTTATCTAGGCACCTATCAGTACAACCGACGTGACGACAACCGACTTCCCTTCAACAACATCCACATCCGCCCACTTACCTCCCGCATTATCTCCAGATTCATTCCCCAGTATCCCGTATCGAACATGAAGGTCGCCAGAGCTTCGCTTCTTGCCATATTGGCGCACTCGGTCACCGCCCGCTTTGTTGCCGAGGATGAAATCAACCGCGTCCAGCTGTACCCTGCCGGCTCTGAGCCCGAGAAGTACTTGATTGAGCTTGCCCCAGGCGACACTCGCTGGGTGACTGAAGAGGAGAAGTGGGAGCTCCGCCGAGTATGATACACCTCGTTCAGCTATTGGCCTTCTCATCTGACTTTCTATTCCACAGAATGGCAACCGCTTCTTCGACATCACCGACCACAAGGACCTTGGCGCCACTCGCCTCCGTACCAAGACTAAGAGCGTCTTTCCCGAGAAGTGTCATCTCCAAGACAAGGTCAAGCCTCTGATCAAGGATCTTGACAAGACCGAAATTGAAAAGAACCTCGAAAAGTTCACGAGCTTCCACACTCGCTACTTCAAGTCCGACTATGGCCGCCAGTCGTCCGAGTGGCTCCTCTCCAAGATCAACTCCATCATCAAGGATGCCGGCGCCGATAAGCACGTGTACGCTGAGCACTTCCCCCATACCTGGCAGCAAAGCTCCATCATTGTTACCATCCCCGGCAAGTCCAACAGCACCGTCATCATCGGCGCCCATCAGGACTCTATCAACCTGTGGCTGCCCTCCATCCTCGCCGCTCCCGGTGCCGACGATGATGGCAGCGGCTCCATGACTATTCTCGAAGCCTTCCGTACCCTGCTGAAGTCCAAGGATGTCGTTTCCGGCAAGGCCGACAACACGATTGAGTTTCACTGGTACAGTGCCGAGGAGGGCGGCCTGCTTGGTAGCCAGGCCATCTTCTCGTCCTACGAGCAGGAGGGCCGTGATGTCAAAGCCATGCTCCAGCAGGACATGACTGGTTTTGTGCAAAGGACGCTTGATGCCGGCCAGCCCGAGAGCGTCGGTGTCATCACGGACTTTGTTGACCCTGGTTTGACCGGCTTCATCAAGAAGGTTATCGTTGAGGCAAGTCGATCTAGTTGCTTACAGTGGATGGCGTACCTTTGTGCTAACCAAAGATACAGTACTGCAAGGTCCCTTACATTGAGACCAAGTGCGGATATGCCTGCTCCGATCACGCCTCTGCCAGCAAGGCCGGCTACCCCTCCGCTTTCGTTATCGAGTCCGCCTTCGAGTACTCGGACAACCACATCCATAGTGTCGATGACACCATCAAGTACCTTTCGTTTGACCACATGCTCGAGCACGCCAAGATGACCCTTGGCCTAGTGTATGAACTCGGCTTCACCGACTTTGCGGCTCTGGAGAAGAAGGGCGAGACTGTTTCCGAGGAATTGTAGAGCGCTTTATGAGATACGGTTGCGGATAGTATTAGTCATATCTCTGCATATCCGGAATAGATGATGCTCAAACGACACGACTCTTGAAGTGCATTATTATCGTACAGCGAGATCGTGGTTTTTCAACACCCAAGCATAACGGTCACGAACTCACTCACTGTCTGCTTACGATATAAGAATCCTCGTATTACTGAATGAAGCCATCCTAGATCACAGCAGGTTAAGTAAATCACAGGACCAGTTGCTTCTATTGGAACCTCAATGGCCATAATATACAAAGCCCAAGTGCAAATTCATGCTCCAAGGGCAGGGGAACCTATGGAACTTTGTTGAAATCTTGCCAGCCTCGGGTATAACCAATGCCAGAATCTTCCTAAAGGCGGTGAGAGTCGAACCCAAAACACTACGGACCTGGAATTCTCGGTGGTAGAGTTCATGAAATTACGCCTAGTAACTCCACCGCGACATAGGCTGCTGTAGAAGCTGGAGAAATGTCGTCGAATATAACGGTCGGGCGTTCCCAGGAATGGGAGATTGTGATTGAGCACGTCGTCCTACAGTGCCAGTCACTTTTCGATCCGTGCGGGGGACCGTTTAAAGGCGGAACGTGATTTCATCAATCCAGGCTATTTCTATCAATTTACGGCTTCATTTGAGCTGCATTTGGTGACGTTACTAAAGAAGGGTACGGAAAACAGTTTGATGCCAAGATGGGTAAATGCTGGTGGTGTTTGTCTTGTAAGAGCTGACTGGTCCGTTACACTGGGTACCAGTTCTCGCTAGTTTCTGCGCCGTAAGGTTACGGCTCATCCCACGTCTTCCCGCGTAGTCCCTTTTAGGCTTATAGACCATGTATTGGTGTGATCTGTTTCTCCGATAACCTATCCAGCTAGACAGATTGCCATCACTGCTTCCTCCAGTGATGCTGCCACAACCCAGTCAGGTGGAGACAACCTCTATATGTAGGTACGCGTGGGTTTGTTTAGTGTTTCCTCATGCATGACAAGACCTGAATCCCCGCTGGCCAGTCATCTGCAGTAGCCGTTGGAGGTCTGCCGTGCGACGAGCATGGATGCTGCAGTTTCCCAAAGGACCTGAAGGCTGCATAAGGCCGGTCCGAAGAACGAACTGCTCATCAAAAAGCCTCGCATTGCCATGCATGCATCTCAAACAAGGCAACCTACTTTTGTAATACTTCTTGCGGCAAGAAAAGCCTACTCGTATTGCAAGATTATGACTGAGAATGGAGAACCTGATCGTATGTCACAGCGGCATGTACCGAACTGGGGTCATCCAGAGTTTGGTGTCTACCTTGAAGAAGCGACGTTGGAATTGGATTGACACATGGTTGCCTCCCTCCTAGGTAGGTAGGCTAGGTACCGGCCGTCGAGTGGGGCAGTTCAGACGCTGGGGCCTGGGCCCGGTTCAGTTTGCCGATTCGATTCCTCGTGCGACCCCGATTCTGCGCCTTCCCAACTCCACATCTCTCAACTTCACATGAACATCACCCAGACTCAACACTGCTTCACCCAACATTATAATCTCACTCAAGACAAGCTTTCACAAAGCTTCAAGAGTTATTGCCTTTAGGTCACCGCGCGCGTCGTTCACATCATCTGCTACGTCTGGAAGGCCAGAGGCGGGGAACAAAGCCGCCCTTGTGCCGAGTCAGTGCGCACACGGGCAGCGAAACGCATTCGCCATCATCAACCACCGTCGCCTCAGACCCCGCTTGAGCAGCGGGCAACATGGATTCCTCAAAAGAACACCTCTCGGACACAATTGCCGCTGCCCCATACAGCCACAGGCCCCCGAGTCCTCCGTATATTCCAATTCCTATGACGTATCCCAAGGGGCCTGCAGCAGCCACCATAGTTCCCTCATTCGACAATGTCGACGCTATGCGTTTGACAAGCGAGGATCTCAGAATCATCACCCGCAACAAAAGTCAGACAGCTACCGATAGGTCAGTGGGCTGGAGCTACGAATCCCGCCGCAAGGCCCAGACAATATTGGACTTTCTTTATCTCGGTCCCTTGTCTGTCGCTCGCGACGAGGCTTGGCTGGCTAAGGAGGGCATCACCATGGTAATAGTGACGCGCCATGCAAGAGTCGCCCAAGCCAGGCTTATGAGCGTGGATAAGGTCGCGCAAAAGTTGGGCATCTTGGTTGAGTACTTGGATGTCCTGGACAACGCCCAGCTGATCCGCGGCTTCCCCGAGGTCGTGGCAAAGATCAATGGACACCTTCTCAATGTCTACCGCAGCCAGGCGACACCTGTGCAGGAGGGCCAAATGATCATCGACAGCGACAACTTTAAGAGTGGCAAGGTCTTGCTTGTTTGCGAGACAGGAAATGACCGGTCGGCTTTCGTCGCTGCAGCATACATCATGAACATGTACGGAAAAGACATGGTCTCCACTGTCCAATTCATCTCTATTCAGCGATTCTCCGCCAACTTTGACGAGGACGGAAAAAGAATGCTGCAGGCATACGAAGACATACTCAATGCTCAGAGAAGCGTTTCTAGCGCGACAAGAGATGTGCCCCGAGCTGGTCATTTCGGTGCTTCCAGCGGTGGAGGCAAGCGAGGAATCGAGTCAACTTTTGATGAAGATGACATGCAAGTCGGTGATGGTTATGCGACATTCACCACAGATCGTGAACGCTACCAAGACAGGGGCAGATTTGCCCCCTTCGTTGACCGTGATTCGGCGCCCTAGAAATGTCGACGGCCAAGTGAGGTGAATCCCGACGTGGAGATGTCGTGAGGTTTGCAGCAGAGAAAAAGTGGCGTCAGCGGAACGACAATAAAAGGTTGTCTATCAAGGAGTAGTATCATTACTGCATTCAGGGGAAACAATAGAACTCGGTTGGGACCATGGATAGGCGTCAAGGGTGTCAATATACCCGTTTTCAGTCGGCGACGACTTTTTGTCTTCAAGTATAGGCTGGGGGCCTTGCCACTAGAGCAAGAAAATATACTCATTAGTCAACATCACGATTATCCCTTACTGCAACTGTACAATGTCTTCCGTTGAGATGTGCTCTGTGGATCTCGTTTCATGCAACAGCCACAAGCTGTGATGAGAGAGAAGTCTGACAAAAGTACCGGGTCCGTGGAGTATGATCCTCGTCCGGTATACTCTGCCCCCGTTTATCTGACGATGAGGCCTACCTATTGTATGGGCGTCTCAACATGTCCGAAGGGGAGGAGAAAGATAGTGCATACTATCTTGTAAGATGGTCTTCGAAATTGAAGGCGGAAAGAAAACACGATGTCCTCATTTTGTGGGTTGTTCATCTAGTCAATGTCAGTATTGAGTTCATATATATAAGCTCAGAAGAAACAACATGTCCAAAGGACAAGCAAGTATGTTTAAAGCAAGTATTGATCATCCGCACTCTACTTTCAGAAGCCATATCAACAAATTAAACGGGTGTGCTACAAAGTCCTTAGTTTGTGTCTAAATAGAGATTAAAGCATTCAGTTAGTACTTTCCGAGCTCTACCGTGCTCCCAGATATGTTCTCCGTCTAAGGGAAGGAGCGACTGACCCGACTTGTACTTTAGACCCACCGCTCCTTCCTTCTAATTGCTACTTACATAGATGGGTGAACAGACTCACCTGACTGTTTGCAACGCGATCTACAGATCTCACAACCACTTTTCCTTTCCTCCTTGCTCCTTGTCTATCTCTCCTCTATCCCAGACCACAAACACAACCATTGCTATTTCCTATGCCCGGAGGTTCGCGATACCTTGTCTGGACAACGCCCTTTACAAAGTTTGTTATATACTCACCATCATAGTTTAAGAAGCTCTTTGTCTCACTCCGATCCCCCCCGTTCTCCCAACACTCTCCTACTCAAAGTATCACGTATGACTACTGTCATGGAGGAGACGGCCGCAAGCGAGGGCCGACAGCTTCGGCAGTCGACCTTATCGCACCAGCCTGGCCGATATGAAGAGTCACAGGCGTATGGAGTCCAGGTTCCAGCTTGGGTCCATCCGAGTCCCGTCTTTGACCATAGCCTCCCCCGGCAGTGTTCCTTTCCAAGCGTCCCCCTAGACCAACCTGGCCGCGCTGACGCCTATGTTGCGGCAAGAGAAAGAGGAGAAATTGGCAGGGAGATGCATGACTTCAGCATAGACGACAGTTAGTGTTCCTTCTCCTCCACTGATTACTTCCACTGACAACAAACAGGTGATGGAGAAGGCCGGCAGGCACCCACGACTGACGAGGACGAGAACGACGACAACACCATTGAGGCCAACATTTCTATGACGCACGATCGTGTTGAGAGAGATCCCAAACCAGGCGAAAGCTTCAAGGATTACCTTCTGTCCGTAACAAACGGCCTGGACTGGGGCAGCCCCGAGCCTGAGGCCGTCAGGGAGCCCATCAAGTGGTGCCAGGTTACCCCTAGCGGGCAATGGATTATTCTCTTGATTCTTTGCCAGTACGAAGCCTTTGCACCCGCCACACGAATTCTCAAGATGACAACCCCAGACATCATCAACTTCGTTATTCTCTACATCCATCATCATCGAGAGACCAAGAAATGGGCTAAGAAGGTAAACAAAACTCCTGTTATCGCTCTCCTCCAAAGGGCTGGAGAGACCTGGCAGAATACTGATGAGATGAATGCCTTCGAACGACCTTGCCTTCCGACTGATGCCCTCTCCAACAACGAACGGGAGCAAGCAATCAATTACTTGCACCAGGTTGGCCAGAGTGAGCTTGTAGAGGACATTGCAGAGTGGCGCGGCTATTCCACCGACTTTCACACGCTTCCTATTGAGCCTGGGATCATGGCTAGATGTGTTTTGATCCTGGATAAAGGAAATAAGAACCTGAATTTCGACAAGACTCAATTTCTGCAAGACAAGCAGTCTTTGCCATGGTCTGAAAGAATTATATCGGAGTGCCAGGACCTAGAGAAGTGTCTGACGGAACTTCAAGCCTATCTTCTTTCCCCTTGTCCTCTGACAGCCAACCATTCCGAATCAATTCTCACAGAAAACCCGGAAGGATCTCGGGGTCAACGACACCACCAAGACGCTGCAGGAGACAAGATCAGCCCATCAATGGAACAAAGCAATAAATCTCGTAACAACACTCAGCTCAATGCTCTATCTGGTCGAAATCCAGAACCTGCCGAATCCACCCATGAACAAGACTTTACCCAGGACGAAGCACCCATCGCTGGAAGCAGCCAGGTGAGTAGTGGTCATGCAGCTTCATTCTTCTTTTTGCAAATCTCAAATTCATACGAAACCAAACAGCCACTGACAACCAGAAGCACTCGCTGGCTACTATTGACTACTGCGAAATGGATGAATTATACGATCCTCAGTTGCTTCCACGTCGACGCGTTCTGTCCATTGGCCTGAGAGGCTACCCGGGATTCAAAACACAAAGCAGCCGTGAGGACACTCCAGTGCAAGAACAGGACTCGATGCAACAACCCAAACTTCTCCTTCTGGGGCTGGAGGTGCCAACCATTCGAGTCCGCGAGGCCTCACCGCAGGTTCAATCCGAATATCCGATGAAGGGTCAAATCTCGGCGGACCGGCTACTGCCTCCTGCTTCGTTCCTTCATCCGCCCGAACGTCCCACAGGGCCCAGTTTGAGCAGAAACACATGCTCAGTTCATCAGGGACTGCCTGCTGATACACATGGTCACAGCCACACGCCAGCTTTCCCTAACATGCATGCTGCGCCTCTAGCCTTAACCTCTAATTCGAATACGGTTAGACGAAGGGACTTTGCTCAGTTACATTTGCCCAATACATCCTCCACCACGGTTCCCGACAACACCGCTCCCAATTTACTATCTTTCATAGACATGTCCCCAACTGGCGGTGTAGGAAATTTCCACACTCCCGAGGTGCATGGCATTTCGAAGGTCTACCAGGTTCACAACAGACCTGGCAGCCAGCTCAACGCATCTGTTTCACCAAGCTTCACTGGCCCCACTGCCACTACTGTACAGAAGCCACGGCTCCAGGGGAAAGATTTTGAGCCCTCAAATCACTTAGTCGAGATGATGACGGATCAGGCGATGGTGTCGCTTCCTGTCGCTTTCAAGAGCAACACCAAGAACATCTCCGAATCAGGTGTTCTACTACAACAAGATAACACCTCCTCCTTTGCGATCCTGACTGATGATGATCTCGTATCTCCTACTATGCTGAGAAGTCGCAATCCTTCTCGAAAACAAAAGCTTGACGAAAGCGATGAGGAATACCAACCTCTTCCCAAGAGACCTCGCAAGACGGATGCCAGGAAGTCTAATTCCCGAAGCAAGAATGTCATTTCTCTTCAGTCAGCCCTGCCGCAGCCACAGCCTGCTACTCAGCCGCAGACGGGCACTGCAGGCACACTTCAGCCTGTTAAGCGTGGTCGAGGCCGCCCACGTAAGAATCCTAGGCCCCAGGACCTCACTGCTGAACCAGCTTGGGCTCAATTAGTTACACCCCAAGGGTCTGCGAGCAACACCGAGGCCCAGATAGTCGCCACGACTTCTTCAGGCACCTCGATTGATGATCATCTAGCATTCGCTAATGACTCAAGCTTGGGGACCGAGGCTGGCGTTCAGGTTTTCACCGGAGGGTCTACAGCTGCGGTTGTTTCAGCTGTAAGATCGACTTCGGGTCGTACTTTTCCATACCCGTCTCCTCAGTCTTCTTTTCAGAACATCCTTCCTTGCGACGCAACTCATGCGACTACTCCGGAGTTGATTCTCCCACATACTCGAATCGAAGTCAACAGAGATGAGCTCACAGGCCGCCGCCCAAACAGTTATGAGGAATTCTGGGCGAATCACCATAATCTCACGGAGGCAGATAGCCAACGGCATCGGGGCGACTGTATCGTGACCGAAAATGCCGCGCCTCATGTCGTTCCAATGGGCGCTGAGACGACATCCAGAGCCCAAGCAGCTTTCCGTTCAGCTTCTAGCCAGATGTACCCTGATGGTCGACAAACTCCTTAGGGAGCTTTCCACTACGTGTTTGGCACTCCACAGCAAACGTGGAATAACGTTGATAAAAGCCTGACTCTTCTGCACTCCAACAGGCACAAAAACCCATTTGTCCTTAGTACCATCCCCAACAGGTCAGGAATGCATAGGTCAGATCCGAGGCTGCTGCCTGCCACAGCGCCCAGGGCAAGAAGAGCGACTAAACAATAACTTATGGGGTGACTGGCCGCTGGGGGGAGCACAAAGAAGCGACAGAGAAACTGGATCGACAAACTTACGTCCATTGCATCTGCTCACTGAGAGAAGTGACTCACTTATACTCATTATTCTTTTCTTTTGACTTTTCTCTCGGAAGGCTAGATGCTCTTATTTTGGGAAGACAGTCCCACTAAATCCAGTAGTATGTCCTTTTTAGGAGATGGGGAGTTGGACAGCCTTTCTTCTTGAAGTCTTATTCTGGACTGGTTACAGACTTCGTTAGTTGATCTCGTATGTCCAAGAGAAAGAAACTTTGGCCTCGTCCTCTGGAATTGCCTCTCAATGATGTTTGAGATACTTTACTCAGGGTAGCTTGTAGTATAGCTGAACCACCCGTATATTTACAGACAATACCTTCTCTATGCTTTGATTATAACTGGTGGTGGCATGGATGAACGAAGCGGTCGATACCTTGAGACGATTGTTAGGGACTGACTCCTCTTGCATTCATTGTCAGCCAAGAAGACAGGGCTTTCGTGATTGCAATTACATTGAACCGAGAAGCAATGTTTCTATCCATCTCATGGTGTTTTTTCTTTCTTCTTTTTTTGAAAAAAACACATCAAGGAACACAAGGATGCGCCGGGTCTTCGACCTTATCCGGAGACAGGAGTTGCGGTGTCGTTGGGCTACTGTGTGTGTTACATAAGACATGCTGAGCTAAGCCTGCATGGATCCCTGGCAGTGTAATGTGGACCAAGTTTGCATCACCGAGCTTCTTCACCGAGCGCACGCCCAATCTGGTTACAGAAGCACCGCCTCCCACTTCCAACCCGCCGATTACCCCAATTCCACATCCTTGGCCGAGCTCCCGCGCGGCCTGACGACGATCCACTCAGCAACATCGACGCCTCTCCCGATCTAACATACCCATCTCCGATTCGACACTCATCAGTTGTCGAATTGTCCTCCAGACCAAGTTCGGGAGCACCTTGCAGCCAGTCTATACACTCTGCGCACGTAAACGAAACGACCCAAGCAAGCCGGTCCTTACGAGTTGACTATAAACCGGCCTTCCCCCTTCGCCAACCTCTCCTCCCGTCCGCCGACGCTTTCCTTCCCAAACGTTACGCACACCATGGCTCCTCGCATCGAAGCGCAAGAGATCGAGACGTACTGGAACATCTTCTCCGCCCGGACAGGCGGGGGCCAGTTCCTGACGGGCGAGCAGGCCGCGCCGGTGCTCAAGAACAGTGGCCTGACGGACAACCAGCTCGAGCGGGTGTGGGACCTTGCCGACGTCGACAACGATGGCAACCTCGACTTTGAGGAGTTTTGCGTTGCGATGAGGGTCATCTTTGATATCTTGAATGGGGTGCGTATTGGCTTGCTTTGTTTGCAGAATATGGAGGGGGAGGCGTTGCGGAAGTGCTAACAAGATTGGGTTGCCAGGAATACTCAGACGTGCCCACGACACTCCCCGACTGGCTGGTGCCCGAGTCCAAAGCACATCTCGTCCAGGCGAATCGCGCGCTCACGGGGAAGCAAGTGGCATTTGAACAGGTTGAGGACGATCCGGACTCGCCCGGGCTGAAAGACGGTTTCGACTGGTACATGAGCCCCCAAGACAAGGCCAAGTACGAGTCGATATACCAAGAGAACCGGGATGCGCGGGGCGAGGTAGCTTGTACGTTCATACTCCAAAGAGTCGCAAAATTCATGAACCCTTTGCTAATGTGTAACCGCTCTAGTCTCCGCTCTAGAGGACCTCTACGAATCACTCGATGTCCCCGACACCGACATTCGCTCGGCGTGGAACCTTATCAACCCCTCGGCCAGCCCCTCAATCAACAAGGACGCATGCCTTGCCTTCCTCCACATCCTCAACAACCGCCACGAAGGGTTCCGTATCCCGCGCACCGTCCCCGCCTCCCTCCGCGCCTCCTTCGAGCGCAATAAGATCGACTACCAGCTCGACAACCAGGCACCTGGTGCATCTCGCTGGGCAACGAAGGCCGACGACTCGACGGCGACGGGCCGCAAGGCCAAGTTTGGCGACCAGTATCTCACGCGCCTCGGCCGCAGCGGCTTCAAGTCGAGCGGCACCGACTTCTCGACGGCCAAGACGGACGACTGGGAGGAGGTCCGCCTCAAGAAGCAACTGCAGGAGCTCGACGAGAAGATGGCTCGTGTCGAGGCCGACGTCGAGCGCAAGAAGGGTGGCAAGCGCGACAGCAAGCCCGCTCTCGTCAAACGCGAGCTCGAGCAGCTTCTCGACTACAAGCGCAAGGAGCTGCGCGAGCTCGAGGAGGGGGCCGGCAAGGCCAAGGGCGGTGCCAGCCTTAAGAGCGTGTCAGATGACCTGCAGACGGTCAGGGAGCAGGTCGAGGGCCTCGAAACGCACCTCTCGTCGCGGCAGCACGTGCTTGAGCAGCTGCGGAGGGAGATTGAGGACGAGAAGCTTAGCAGATGAGACATGATGCAAGAAAAGAAAAAGAGACAGGGTGTTCTTCTTGCCGTTTTGGAGGGCACTCGGGTGGCTTGCTTGGTGATTCCTCCTTTTTTTTAAAACCACCACAGGGAGCTGGTCTGGTTGGGTACCGTTCATGTCCAATTCAGGGAGTTTTATTTTTTTTCCTTCTCCGTATTGTTTACGCATACGTGCATGTAAGACTATAATGTTTTCCCTTCCCCTGCTTAGGTTGATGAGAAGGAAAGGCAGGATCATGAAGTGGGACAGAATGCACTTTATAGAAGAGAGTAGGGGGGCGGCGGCAAATAAAGCATGCGGAGTACCTGTTTCCTGTTCCCCCTGTTCCCCGGGGTTTTGTCCGATATGAGTAAGGCAAGGTAGATGTAAATTGTAGGTACACTAACGTGAAAGTAAACACTGCCTCCAGAACGGAATACCATTTATTGCCCTTGAGCCGCGGTCCCAAACGCAGATCCTTCACCACTGAGTGCCTTCGGTATACTTGTTTATCCAACTCATCCCTAGGGTTTTACCCTTCAAAGAGTAAACGAAGAAGGAGGGTACCTTGACCCAGCCGACGCGGCCGGCGCCGCGGTTGCGGCCTGTGGAGCACATGAAAACGTCGACGGGCATGCCCTTGACGACCAACTGGTCCTTGCCCTTGATGGCAAGCTCAATGTTTTTGACCACGCCAGCGGCCTGCAATGAGGTTAGTTACATGTGAAAAGGAGAAAGAAAAAAACCGGGGTTTCAGGCAGTGTGTAAGTGAGGGAGGGTTTGCAGACGCACCTGCTTGTCCGTGAGCATGAAACCCGAGCGTTGGCAGGAGATGATGTCGCCGCACGCCCAGACGTTATCGACGCCCTTGACGCGCAAGCACTCGTCAACTTTGACGTTGTTGTACTCGTTGATCAGGCTGGAGTCGAGGTACTCTGTGTTCGGGACGAGGCCCATGGTCGGCAGGTACAGGTCGGTCTTGATGATCTCGCCGCTCACCAGCGTCACCTCCGTCCTGCCGTCCGGCAGCGGCCGCGAGTTCTTGACCCGTGAGTTCTTCTTGACCTGAACGCCCAGCCGCACGATTTCGTTCTCGACGCCCTTAGCGATGCTGTCGCCGCCCAAAATCTCCTCGTGGGCCGACAGGAGCACGACCTCCTTGTCCGCGAACTCGAAGCGGATCTCGGCGGCGGTCTCGACACCAGTGGGACCGGCGCCGGCGACCAAAACGTGCCTCGCCGCCTTGACCTTCTCTGTCGTCTCATGCAGCAGGTCGATGGTCTCCTCGTGTGAGTTGGCGTTCTTCCACGGCATGTCCGGGCTCGCGCAGCGGGCGCCGGTGGCGAGGACAAGGTAGTCGTAGGGCAGGGACCGAGGTCCGGACGGGGTGGAGACGAGGGCTGCCTTGCGGGCCACATCTAGGCCCGTTGCGGTGCCGAGCACGAACTCGAAGCTTTCCTTGGGGTAGCTGGCAAAACCGGGCTCGATGGGCTGGAAGATCTGCTCGTCTTTGACGATGCCGGGCACGACGGCTCGGACGGAGCCCATGTTCCAGTAGAAATGAGTTGTCTGCCATTCCTGTCAGCTTCTCGAATGCATCTTTTGGTTTTCAAGTCTTGTAAAAATGACTCCCAGTTCTTTCGGCTAACTCTCGATCATGCCTCTTTCTTCGACCCACGCGTACAGCAAACGTAGACCATCCACAACCATCGTCACGACAGGCCTCCAAAGGCCAGCACGGCCTCTGGCTCCTGGAAGGGTCGTCCGGGTTCCCAGTGTTGTGTTATATCAATCAAAGTAGAGGGGCGCCTTACTTTCGAAACCAAGATGACTCTGATGTCCTCCTCCGTCTGGCGCGTGTACTTGAGCAGGCGATGGGCAACGCCCAGACCGCCGAATGCCGCACCAAGAACTACGACTGTCTTGACCATTTTTTATATAGCGTATTGCCAAAGTCGCTCTGGTTTCGACGGTGGTGTGAGTCTGTGACCGTGTATGCGCGGAGGGTCTTCGTCTGTAGTGGCGATATGTATCAGTCCCGTGTATCGACCTGATGTTTGGTAAGTGCCAACTAATATGTAGCAGGTTGCCGAGCCGCTGGATGTGTTCAAGGCCAAGATCAAAGCCGCAAAGAAAACAGCGAGGGGACCGGTCTTTATCCCACGCCCACAGCTTGCTCAGGTCCGAGATTCGCAAAAAGCAAAAAGCAAGGATCCGACGTGCCTCTCTTTCACCCCATGTAGGTCCGGATGCCACTCCTCCTAAGGTTGCTCTAATGAACGATACGAATTAGAACCATTAGTATTTTCGTAAAGGTTTCAGTATCAAGTCCGTGCCGTTGATCACACAAAATGCCTTTGGTAGGGCAGAGGGCCTGTCCAAGGAAGCTCTCAATGTCCGTCCCTGGGTGGGTGGCATGTAACTCCTCCGTTGTCTGTCCGGGCTTTCCCCACGCTTAGAGGACAGCATGACGGACTGTCATTCGACGACGGAGGGTACGCGGAAGAGACCAGACGAAAAAACAAGTGTAGCATTCGTTCTCAATACAGCAATCAGGCGCAAGGCGGAGGGCTGATGGAGGGGGTAGTGGAGCTTCTTTGTGTTTCCTCATTGTTTCTTCGTGGACTGATGTTAGATGGGCCCGACTCCACGGTCAGAGGCTTAGCAAGCCGTAATGTGCTTCAATATAAGATAATGGCTGCGAATGCCGCAACGACCCGATTCGCCCAGGCTTGGTTAGGGACGAATAGTCTTTGTTGAGAAACTTTGAGAGCGCGGAATGTACCTCGCTCGTGAAAATGCATCTCGCCGTAGCATCCAAATGGCAGCCACGGTATTCGAGTGAACCCAGCTTGTCAACCGCAACGGAGACAAACTATTCATCCAAAACAATTCATCCAGGGAAACCAGTATTGAGCTGAAGTATAAATAGGCACTTTGATGCTCCCGATGCAACAAAAGAATCGCTCTGCTTGGCTGGTAAGGCGCTCGACTGTACGCTCTTAGTGCTCGGCCAGATGCATTGTATGGTACAGGAAGTAACGACTACACAATGCAGGCTCGCCGAGGACTGAGAGCATGGTCTTGATATGTCGTGCCGACCGTAGTCCGAAATGCTTTGATGGCAGCTAGCAGTCGGTCATCCACCTTTCTGCTCCTACTTTCGTGTCTGACGTATCAGACCGGTATCGTTCTTGTAAAGTTGAGGTTGAAGCTGGGAATTCCCTCGCGGATGGAGTAGGGAACGATGGCACTTGCCATGGTCCAGTACGATTTAGTCCTGAAAAGGAGTAGGGTCATTTAAACAACGAAGTCTTCGAAGCGGCAAAACCATCAACGAGGACACAGTCCCGAGTTGTCGCGACCGCTGACAAGACGTGGGCAGGACTGGGAATGTCGGCGAGATGCATCCTGCAGGGAAGTGATTGAGCCGAGGTCACGCATAGCAGGCCGCCACAGAACCCGCAAGCACTCAGTCGAGGTAACGCAGGCTCCATAACTGGAAAGGGTGCAAGGGAGCCACCTGCACCGCTTTGGCCCAATTCCAGTCCGTCCACTTTTCCCCTCACAGCTTGGGTCGGCCCAAGCTCAGGGAGGTTTAGCCACGGAAGCCTTGACGTTGCACCGTGTTCCTGAGCCGTGCTACCTGTACTACAACAAGCTCGCCTGCAGCAATGACCAAAGGGCGGGGGAGGTTCAAGCCTATGAGCGCCCCGAGGGAAACGCGGAGGTCGGGGCCTCTTCTTGCCCTTGTGGCGGTGCATTGTCCCAGCCCAGCCCAATGACAGCATCAGCTGCCCCGCGCATATGATGGAAGCGGGTGTGTGAGACCCGGTTTACCTCTTTAACCCCGCCAAAAGGTGGCCAACCCTTTTCCCTCCGCCTTTCCCAACACTGAAAGGAAACTCAACAAGTCCCTTCCTAGAATATAACCTCACAGCTACAATAACCCGCGACTTTGGAACCTTCGAAACCTTTTCTTGACACCCTTTTTCCGGAACACTATACATCATGTCTGCCACCCAGAGCGAAGCCTTCAAGCAGGCTGTCATCGACAGCAAGAAGCTTACCGCCAAGCCCGGCAACGACGAGCTCCTTGAGCTCTATGGTGCGCTTCAGCCCTGACAGTCTTGAGGACGGAACCCGTAAAACTGACTCCCAACCCTCAACAGGCCTCTACAAGGTCAGCACCGGTGAGGACATCTCCAAGGCCCCCAAGCCTGGCATGTTCGACCTCAAGGTAAGACACATCCCCTCCAACCGAGCTACCGAGCTCCCGGTCCTTTCACGTGAAAGACGCTGACCTTTGTTCGCGTGACAGGGCAAGGCGAAGCAGGGCGCGTGGCAGAAGGTCGTCGACGAAGGCGTCACCCCCGAACTGGCCCAGGAGAAGTACATCGCGCTCGTCAACACCCTCAAGGACAAGTACGGCTACGACGCCAACAAGGAGCCTGAGGCTGTTGGCAACTAAGTCAATGCGCATGCCTGCAACGCCCATGAGAAACGACACGGTTGATAAGGATTAGCAATGGTTCGATGCTAGGGTATCTACCGAGCAAGAATCAAGGATCAATATAATGATACCAGAGCCACCCCAGCCCCGTTGCCCCATGTCGCATGTGTGATTAGTCCAGACACTTTGGTCTATTCGACACCCCACAATCTCCCCATCCTGTCTGGATCCGTATGGACCATGCTCGCTACCCAAGGTATCTCGTCTTTGCCGTATGCCTGAAGTGGAAGATTGTAGGGAATTCTCATTCCGACAACTGGGTCTCCGTCCCCCACGTCCTTCGAAGGCATGTCTGTCTCGAAGGTTCCGACCATAGTCGCCTTGTCCGTTATAGCGGAAGGCCAGACAAGTACTCCGATCTCCCACGATGCGATTCGGACCTCTTGAGACGCTCCCGCTGCCTCGCCCCACGCTTGCTTGGAGATATTGGCCGACGTGACGAGGGCCCAGTCTATCGACTTGTCGCCGTAACGAATGTAGGTTTTGATGTGCGGCGCTGCTCGTTTTCGGCCGGCCTCCTGGATTGCTGCTGTTTCGGGCAACGCTGCAATACCTTCAGTACTTTTCTTCTCCAAGGGCCATGCTGCTACCTACGCTCTCCTTCGGGGGCGTCATTCGCCCAATGGTGGAAAATGGGCCGAAGGTATTGTAATTGCTTTGCTTGTTGTTGAGATTGGATCTTCGTATGTATTGAACCGCCAGATGCGTAGCCGTCTAGGCTTCGTCTGATTTCATCCGCGGTAGGAAAGACTACCTTGAACTTCGGCCTGGGGGTGCTCAGCGAGTTGTTCTTGGAGACTGCAAGAGAGTCGAAAAGACACTTCTGGATCCAGCTGTCTGAAGCTCCTAGAGTGGCGATGGATGATATCTGAACTACGACCTCAGACTTTCCTTCTTGCACAGGGACGCTGCGCAAGGCTCTTTTGAGTGCCGGCCAACCCCAAGCTGTCTGTGAGGTGTCATGGATGGGATGACGCCCAGGGACGCTAGCGATCAGCGTAGCCCGCACATCTGAAAAGTCATAGTTGCGCAACTGGTCTACCAAGGTTCTGACAGTTGGTCTGCGGGTATTGTAAGCTCTCAAGTAGCTAAGAATATCGTGTTTAAACTGTTTTCCCGTCCCGAAAGAATGGTCGTTTGTCGAAGCATCGTCAACATGGTCGTCCGGAAGCAGTGGAAGTATTGGTGAGCGCCAGACCGCGTTAGTCATGTTGGTCCAGTCCTTGGCGATCATATTGGCGGTGTGTATGATCACCTGGGCCGAGTCGTCGTGACGGATCAGGATCATCATTTTGGAATGATGGGTGCCGAACATCTCGGGCATGAAAGCACCATGCAGCTCGACATTTGGGTATGCTTCTGCTTCTTCCTGTTTATCTCATCAGCATCGTGTGTACGTTCTTACACAATCATTTATCGCCTTACCTGGAGAGCCAATCGGTTCGGGTCCTCCCTCTTCCAGAAGCCATGGACAACATGGACCTTTACAAGATCTCTGGTATCCTCGTCAAAATGGCTCATGAGGAAATGTATATCATGCAGGAAGTTAAACTCCCAGCATTCGGCAATCAGTGGGTCACCGAGGATACCCTTCAGCGCAACCGTATCATGGTTCGCGGCTTCAGGCAGGTCTCGGATGCGGGTGAGCTGAAAAGGCGATCTGATGAGCTCGCCTTGTCGGTTTCTCTTCTTGGGAGGGCTGATAGCCCGGCTCAGAGAATAAAGACCGTCTGGTCTCGCTTCTGTCTCGGCTTCTTCGACGTCTCCAACAAGACACGGCCTTTTCGCGGCCCGTTCCATCTCGGTGGTACTCGACATAAGCTGTCGTGATGGAGGGTGGAGGATGGTGATTTGGAGACAGAAGCACTGACTATGCTTCGTCTACTGTCGAATGTCGACAGGCGAAGACACAAGGCGGCTGGAAAGAGTTGCAAGCAATATTACTGCCACCTTCGAAAGAAACTGGACAGAGTAGGTAGCTGGGTTCAGTCCCATTCACGCAACAAATTATCAGGCAGGTATGGCCATGCTGGTGCCTTCCTGAAAGCCGCCGGAACCGATTATTCTGTTGCGATGCTCTTTCCCAGTGGTTCACCAGCGATACCTACGCAAATTATTGGTTTTAGTTGAAAAGTTTCCTGCCGATCATCTCTCTTGCTTCGGCCACTTGGTTCGCTTCCCGTTTGGAATAATGTGAGCTTTATGAAGAAGTTCACAGCAGCGGTTGCTGGACACTGATTAGTTACGCCCGTGACGTCGTTAGCGTTACCTGCCCTATGGCACACTGCGCTTCCACCAAGTGGGTTATCTTAGGTACCTACGTAGGTAGTTCGGGTGTTCGTGGGGCATTAACTTTCCAGAGCTTGTCCCAGCAATGATCATTCAAAAAAAAATACAACCTCCAATAACTTACGTCCTCGTACCCTTTAGGCTGTCACATTGTGGTCTTTCAGTCGCTGATATCTAGCAAACTATTGTGCACTACAAAGATTTCTGCCTGATGTATGATGAAACTATCGAAATGCGGCCTTCGAAAGTGGCTTCTTGGCTTAGAGCCCATCTTGTTGTGATAGGTCCACGGCCCGTCCGCGACCTTCACTGCCTCTTCCTCATCAGCACCAATCTGGCCACTTGACTAAGAACATGGTTCGCCCAGCTATTCAGCTGATATGCAGGCCGCTGGGCCTGCAGCAACGTGCCATTCCCCCTCACCTCGTATATTCGGACTGGACTGTGCTACAATGCTTCTTGTTCGGCCTCACCATCCGTACCTAGTTCGACATGGATCCTCTATCGATCTCGGCCAGCGTCATCGCTCTTGTCCAAGCATCGCTTGCTGTTGGAAAAGGAGTCAAGTTGCTTTCTTCTCTGCGGCATGCTCCAGCAGAGTTCTGTGATCTGGTAAATGAACTCACTACGCTCCAAGCGGTCATTGAGCAGGTCAAGAGCCCGCTTGAAGAGTTGAAGGACGAGCAAACGAGTGATAGCACACTTCCCGCCTTGGACGCATCTGCAACGTTGGCGTTGAAACGTGACTTAGAAATCATCTCAGAGGAGCTTCAAGCGCTCTGTGAACGACTCACAGTGACGGATAAAGCAAATGAGAAGGATAGACTACGCCGAGTGTCCAAGGGAAGATGGGTACGAGAGCAATCCAGTATTTCCAAGCTCAAATCCAGAGTGAACACGGCCCGGAGCTATTTGATACTGTGTTTTGGTGCCCTACTTTCATCGCAGAGGTATGTTTCGAGCCGCCTAGTGATAGTGAGCGCTTTCGATAAGTTGTTAACGACGAGTAGTTTAAGGCAAGGCAGGATAGTGGTCGATATCCATCAACTCGTTCAAGAGTTCTTCCTGGCTTTCGAAAGAGAGGCTGAGAGAAATCGTGGTACAACATTCACGAATCGTGCCAATACCGACGAACCGATGGCCTCCCTCGACTGTCAGATAAACGCAAAAGCATCCAGCCTGGAACAATTGCTAACGGCCAAAAGTCAGGCTCCAAGCCACAGCAGTCCTCTAAGCCAAGGCAGGTCGGAGATCGAAACGCAACCCTACGTTTTGGTCGAGGCCTCAGTTCTCCGAAGTTGCTCGCCCCGGTGCAGATGCCAGTGTCATCACCACTTCAGAATCCAGACGCCAGCTTGGATGCGCTCTGTTTTTGGTGCACTTTTCCTCCAATACAACAGTGTTCCGCTGTTAAGGCCAAGGAAGTGTGACCTCCGAGAATGCAGAGCAGGTCCTTCTAATTCATCACGCCTGTTCTATTTCTTTCCTAGATGGCTTCTCTCTCGTGCGATTTTTGTTGCAACTTCCTGGGGCGCTCTGACTGGAGTTGGCTCTTCTTTTCATCTTCATGTTTCAAAACTGGTTCCCCGAGACCTGATGGTATCAGTTGTGTACAACTGCGATATCGACTGGATAAAGCAAGGCATTACCAACTCAACCGTATTGCCGACAGATGTGGACGATGATGGCAACTCGCTTCTCGTGGTATGTTTGTCACTTTCACCGAACCAAGCCGCTTATGTCGTCTCTGTTGAGTATTTACGGGTTATCGCCTTGTAGATATCTCTACGTGACGTCAACCTACCACTTTCGGCATTTCTTGTCCAGCAGGGTTGGCCATTGCATTTGGAAAATGTGACTGGATGGTAAAGCTACTTACAAGGCGTAATGTGGCTCTATGCTAACATAGACTAGGACGGCCGCAACACGCTCTCGGCTTCTGTACTACGCTGCGAAGCACAACCGGATCCAGTCTCTTAAACCCGAGCATCGTCGCATGATTGAGCATCTCACCTTCTCACAAGCAGGACCAGGCGGTACATCGACTTTGATACACGATGCAGTTCTCGGAGCGACATCAATGTCCGTATCAGACGCAATAACTCAGACCCGGACTGACATTGATAGCCTCGACGGTCATGGGTGGTGTCCGTTGCACTGGGCAATCTATCTTGACGACTACACTTCGTTCGAGGTCCTGCTATACCGTGGTGCAAGCCCGAAGACAGAGACCAGAAGCGGCTGGACACCACTTCATTATGCTGCCCGATATGAGCCTCCTGGCTCAGTGAGAATGGCTGAAGCAGTCATTGACGCCGGCGCAGATGTGAGTGCACAGGTCAAAAACTACCGTGGCAACGAAGGAGAAACTGCAATCATCTTTGCCTTTGACAACCCAGAGATGGTTGAACTTTTGCTGCGGCACGATTCCCCGTTTGTAGTCAAAACAGACACCGACTGGGTGTGTCCGCTGTCGTACCGAGCTCGCCGGACGAGCAATGTCGATCGTTGGGACCCTAGAAGGTGGGACTGGGAACGATCTCTTGGTCTACTTTGCAGTGCCGGGTTGGACCTCGATCTGCGATCACAGCAACCGGGCTTCGACGGCCGTACCCCCCTTCACGATACGATTCTGTGGCGCAACTTGGCACTGATGGAGCTCTTGATCCAACGCAAGGCTAGGCTCGATGCCATAGACAAGTACGGGTCAGGCATCCTTCACTTTGCAGGACAAAGTGCGAATCTCGACCTGATCAAAGTCTTGCAGGATGCTCAGATTCGCGGTCTGAACCCAGATGAAGCAAACATTGCTGGCGATACACCGATGAAGATCATGACAGCGCGTATGTATGGCAGCGACGAACGGAGACAACCAGGCGAGACGAGGCCATCATTCGAGGAGTGGTTGGCCTTCAAACAACTGCTGCAGGAAATACGGGACCGCAACTATGATGATTCCACAACAGGCGGTAATCGCCCGGATTTCCTTGCGAATTCTTCGCACGGCTCCCAACCAGAAGACTGGACACTTGGTAGTGATAGCGTCTATCAAACTGCTGTTCAGTCCTTCAGGAGCAAGCCGTTATCAACGACTGTCGACGATGCCGCCTCTGTGGGGATTTCGGAGGACAACCACAGTGATGAGGATCAGTATTTCAACAAATTTGAGGGCTACTGAAAGAACCATCAGAAACCGAGAGTTGGTTCAGTCCACTCGGAGTTAACAAGCTAGTTGTTTGTTGCCCATTAGCGTTCGTGAAATTATGTCAGCTTTTATTTTTCAGTTTGTTCTCTGCGGTGATGCGTTGACATTTTGCATGTGCTATTGGACCAAGACTCTGAACTTTCTGAGTTTCGTCAGTCGTCGACGTTCATCCAAGGTGGCGATCTGGGATGGATAAGCCACTTTTGCTATTCTTATCGTATGCAAGATCCACCTGGGTGACGCCCTACCTCACCTTACCTAGTAAATTGTACATAGTAAGATTGAAAGTTGGTTGAGCTCTTTTTAGTGGCGGGATGGAGATGGAGTGGAGAAGGGATCGAGGGTAGGCGGGCAGCTGGCACGACACGGTCCCGCAGTCTTCCACACGCGTTCCACTTCCCATCTGTCAGCCCCTGCCAGCAGGCACCACGGACTGAGAGTCTAGACTGTGTGGGCGACTGTGGCCTCACCCCAAGGACCACACGCGCAGCATCCCTGCTTGCCTCAAGTATCAGGCAGCATACTTCCTTGTTTGGCCTGCGCAACGGCTGGAACTGAACCTGGACGGCGCTACAGAATCTTGACACACGGCCTCCTCCTGACTTGCCATTGCCATTGCCTGCCTTTTGCCTGCCTACCAGTCCCGTCGCTCGCTTTGTTGGTCCCTTTATGCTTGGCTTCCCCCTTTGCAAAAGCACCACCAGTCCACCACCACCCATTTTTTCTCTTTCGACGCCGCTGGACGATTTCGGGGGGCTTTGACATAGACGAAGAAAGGAACATTAGCTTCTTTCTCGACCTTTTCTACCCTCCATGTCTCCGGCGATCTAGTAGGTTTTAACTACCTCGAACCCTTTTTGCAACCCCTCGACGCACCTCATCACGACACCACCCGATCCACACCCATCTGACGCTGCACCTCTGATTGCGGCTTGACATCGATTGCGCTTCGTCGCGCCCCCTTAATCGACCGAGTCCATCCGTCGACACGGATTTGCTTCGGCGGTTCCTGCAACTACATTCTTCTCACCAATCATTGCACCTACGAGGTGCAGCCTCGCCGTCGCAATGAGGTTATCGCCTTTGTTTCTCTTCCTGGGCTCGACCCTGCTATCCGGGGTGCAAGCAGCAGCGGAAGAAAAGGAGGACCAAGCCAGCACCTACTTCAACTCCATGAAGGTGCCACCAATACTCGAGTTGACACCGGATACGTTCGAAAAGGAGGTGAAAGCCCACCAATTCATGCTTATCAAGCACTACAGGTAACATGCCTCTGCTCTCCGTCTCCCCCTTGTACGCGTCCTTGCTGACGATAACGTAGCCCTTACTGCCCGCATTGCATCGATTATGCGCCGATATTCCAGACCCTGTACGAGTTCTACTACACTTCGAAGCCGGAGTCGAAGGAGGACAAATCCTTCACCGATTTCTACGATTTCCGCTTCGCCACGGTGAATTGCGTTGCCTATTACGATCTCTGCGCATCCCACAGTGTCTCATCCTACCCCAGCACCATTCTCTACAAGAATGGCGAGTTGTCGGAGATCATCAAGGGCGTTAAGGAAATCGATCAAGTCAGCCCCGTTATCGAGAAGCACCTGGAAGCGGCCAAGCCTGGAACGAGGCCCCGCAGCATCGAATTGCCCGAGGCTGGTGACAAGTACTCCCCCGACAAGGCCCCTGGCAAGACCAACGACTCCAAGAAGCCCGCGAACGAGAAAACGGACACCAAAACGGATGCGAAGACGGACGCCAAAGCCGATGAGAAGACTGATGCGAAGACGCCGCCCAAAGAAGAGACCAAGGCTCCCCCGAAGGCCCCTCCTGCGAAGGAGGATGTCAAGCCTGCCGATAAGACCGACGCAAAGGCCGATGCAAAGGCCAGCACCACCGAGAAGGCCGTCGCTACCCCTACCAAGTCTGTGGTGAAGAAGCCTACCGTTACTCCCAACAAGGACGGCATCTCTGTGCCTCTTACTGCCGAGAAGTTCCAGACCTTGGTAACCATGACCCAGGAGCCCTGGTTTGTCAAGTTCTACGCGCCGTGGTGTCACCACTGCCAGGCTATGGCACCTAACTGGCAGCAACTGGCCAAGGAGATGAAGGGCCGGTTGAACATCGGAGAGGTAAACTGCGATGTGGAGACCAGGCTTTGCAAGGACGTCCACCTTCGCGGGTACCCTACCATCCTCTTCTTCAAAGGTGGTGAGCGCGTCGAGTACGAAGGTCTGAGAGGCCTCGGTGACTTTGTCCACTACGCAGAGAAGGCGATCGACATCAGCGAAGGAGTTCAGGATGTGGACGCCGAGTCTCTGGAAGCCCTCGAGGAGAAAGAAGAGGTGATTTTCATCTACTTCTACGACCATGCTACTACCAGTGAGGACTTCATGGCTCTCGAGCGTATCCCCCTCAGCCTGATCGGCAAGGCGAAGCTTGTCAAGACAAAGGACCCCGTTCTTTTTTCTCGTTACAAGATCACAACCTGGCCCCGCTTGCTCGTGTCGAGGGAGGGCCGTCCCACGTACTACCAGCCGCTCACACCCAAGGAGATGCGCGATGTTCACCAAGTTTTGAACTGGATGAAGTCGGTCTGGTTGCCCATCATTCCTGAGATGACTGCCTCCAACGCGCGGGAGATCATGGACGGCAAGATTGTCGTTCTCGGAATCATCAATAGGGAGGACCAGGAAGGCTTCCTCAGAGCTAAGCGCGAGTTGAAGAGTGCCGCCAACGAGTGGATGGATAAGCAGATCCTTCTCTTTCAGCATGAACGACAAGAACTGCGTGACGCCAAGCAACTCCGCATTGATGAGGCAGAAGACCGCGGCGACCAGCGAGCCCTGCGCGCGGCCAAGGCCACCCGCATCAACATGGACAAGTCGGACAGGAAACAGGTCGCCTTTGCCTGGGTCGATGCTGTCTTTTGGCAGAGATGGATCCGCACCACGTACGGCATCGACATCAAGGATGGAGACCGTGTCATCATCAATGACGAAGACGTAAGCCTATTCTGTGATTGTACATCTTTGGTTTGCAAGACTAACACTGTCCATAGAACCGCCGATACTGGGACACAACCATCACTGGTAACAACATTCTTTTGTCGCGGACTTCGATTTTGGAGACCATTAACAAGGTCGTCACTTCGCCGCCCAAGATCAAGCCCAAGCTCACCATCTCGAGCTTCGAGAAGATCTTCTTCGACATGCGTGTTACCTTTGTCGAGCACCCCTACCTGACCCTGGGCTGCATCCTCGGCCTGGCTTTTGGTGCCTTCTCATGGTTCCGCAGCCGCTCTCGCCGGGGTCGTGGTGGACACTTCCGCTTGGAGGAGTCCTGGGGTAACAAGGAGCTGATGAAGGAGGGTCTGTTGGGCCCCAACGGCAACGGCAAGGTGGATTAGAAACCCGACGCACATGAGCAGTGGCTGAAGAGTCTGGAGGAGCAGAATCGTCCTGCGCATGACCATCTACGGAAATTGGACTAATGGAAAGCCGTGAATGAGGCTACGACGAATTGGGGCTGGACGTCACAACGTTTGTGTGTCTTTCGTCTATGGGAAGCAGATGACAAAAAACCTAAAGCATTGAGATGGCTACTCACGGAGTTGATGGGGCCTTTTTTTCCTTATTCCCTTTTTTCTTCTGTCTTTCCTTGGCATGGAATTGGCCGAGAGGTCCAGAGAGGCCTACCTGTCTGTATACTACCCTTTTTGCTTGGCTGTGGTGGAGGATATACGATGATCCCCTGCACATGCCATTTGACAGATTATACATTGTTTATTCGAGTTTCGAACTATACGTTTGATACTGTCCTTTTCCTCATTCGAAACGTAGTCAGGGAGAGTATAGGGATGTCGCGGGGGACTGAGAGGGCCAGGCACAAGTACATATCCACGAGACAAGGTCCGACAGTTGGGGATTGTTCTGTTCAATTGCTGCTATCGACGAGGTATTCAAACCGAAAAGACACTTCCTACTTGGTGAAGACTAGCCGAGTGCTTTTGTTTCTCTTTTCTGTTCTAGATTGCAAAACGTCTGTCAACGTATCCGGTTGCTGGTTTTCTCCGTGATTGCTTTCTTTTTTTTTCTTTCTTCAAAATCTCCTAGTCTCCCCCACCTACGTGTAGATCTCGTCCGTGAAGCTGTTGAGGGACAGACCCTCCTTGGCAATGTCATCGACGTCGACAAGGAAGTCGAGGGGCATCTCGACGAGGTTGCCGCGGACGCGGCTGAGCCAGTCCTTGACCTCGCGCACGCCGCCGGGGAACTCGTCCCTGACGACGTGGCCGTACTCGACCTTGCCGGCCGTGTCTCCCTGGTCCTTGGCGCCAGGGATGATAAAGTGCTTGCTGAAGAACTCGTCGTAGTCCTTCCAGGTGCGGACGTGGTCGTTGGGCACGTTGTGGAAGACCTTGGAGAAGACCTCGGTGTTTGTGCGCGCCGTGCGCTCCCACAGGTCCCAGAACCCGCGCGACATGGGGTCCCGCACGAGGCGGTCGGCGGGGGAGTCCCAGTCGTAGGCGTTGGGGCCACGCTCGACGGACGTCCAGTTGTCGTTGGGCCGGTCCCAGCGCTGGTCGGGGAGGAGGCCGAGGTGCTTGCGGAAGATCTGGCGGCGGAGCGACGTGGCGAACTTGGAGGCCGTGAAGGGGCGGCCCGCCATCTCGGACTCGATCGGGGTGGGGTCCTCGATGATGACGGCGATCTCCGAGTCGTGCGTGCCCAGCTGCGAGCGGTCGTTGAGGTTGGCCGAGCCGCAGATGACGAGGCTGTCGTCGGCGATGAGGAGCTTGGAGTGGATGTACAGCTCCTCGCTGACGAAGGCGTCCATCTCGGCCTCGGGCTCGCCGTGCCAGGGGACGCTGTGCAGGTCCGGGCCGGCGTCCATGTAGCACGCCGACACGGTGTCCCAGGTCTGGTCCGAGACGTGGGAGGCGGCCTCCTGGTAGCGCTCGTACTGCGAGTTGCGCTCGCCCCAGCGGGCCCCGGTGCCCTCGCCGCTGTCGCCGTAGCCCGCGCCGACGACGTCGTCGTGCTCGCGGCGGGCGTCCTCGTAGCGAACGCCGGAACGCTGCTCGGCGTTGGCCATGGTGGAGGAGGTGTTGATGCGGTCGTAGTTGCGGAGGTTGTAGAAGCGGATGTAGCGGCCCGGGTCCTGGATGCCGCCCTCGGAGCGGAGGGTCTCCATGATGGAGTGGCCGCCGCGCGAGATGGAGTTGTATTGGAACTCCATGATGGCGCGCGTGCCGAGGGCGTCGTCGGCCTTGAGATCGCCGGCAAAGGCCGGGACCGCGGGCATGGCGACAACGATCTTGAAGTCCTCGCCGTCGCGGTCGGCGCGGATGATGCGGTCCACCATGGCGCGGCCGATCTTGTTGGTGACGGGGTGCTGCTCCTTGCTGGTGGCCGTGATGAAGAACTGTGCGTCTGTTAGTACATGGGGAGCGGGCTGTAGAGAGAAAAAGGGGGTGGGAGACTCGCCTGGTTCTCCATGTAGACAAAGTGCCGGGCCTTGGTGATGGCGTCAATGTAGGCGTTTGCGATGGAGTGCTCGGTGGCGTGGCCGGAAGACCACTTGGTGCAGCTTTACGGTCGGTCAGTAGCAATTCTTGTGACGAGTGAGACGCGCCAAGTTACCTTCGAGTGAGCTGGATGTTGGCCGCGCGGTCGCCGCGGTCGATCCTGACAGGTCTTCCATCATCCTGGTCGTCGCTGACCATCAGACGACTCACACCGCGGTTGATGCGCTCGGAGAGGTCGCCGAACAGGTGGCTGGAGTGGCCGCCGCCGAACAGGCCGCCGCTCTCCGTCTCGTTCTCGGCGATCCTTCCGGCGTCGGAGTTGCCAGCGGCACCTCCCAGTGCCTGGTACTTGCCGGGGTTCTTCTTGCCGTACTTTTCTTCATAGATGAAGTTCCTGTCCACCGTTAGTGGTGTGCTTCAGTCGAATCGGACAAGCGGGCCTGGAACGCACCATCTGTCGACAAAGTGGTCTGCCAGGTGCTGGACGATGGGGCCGTTCAAGCTAATACTGACATCGGACCAGCCCATTCTGGAGTTCTTGGTACGGTCAACTGGTGATGTTGTTAGTGTGCACGACGTTGTAGATGTCAAAGGTGACTCACGCTTGTTCTGCTCCCAGTTATCGACGTCGGAAAAGTCATAGACGCGAGCGTTGTTGTAATCTTGGCCAGGGAAGATGATGGCGTCCAAGTTGCCTGGGTGGGCGTCCGCGATAGGGTGACCTGTCTTTCAGTTAGGAACGGCACGTTGCCGGGGGGCGAATCATGGTATTAGCTTACTGTTGGTATCCCATCTGCCAAAGCCTGTTTTTTTGTTAGCAAGTCTAATGAGCAACTGAACAGATGACTTACACATATCAAGACCTCCCATGAAGGCGAGCTTTCCGTCAATCAGACACAGCTTCTCGTGGTGAGCCCAAAACAGGGTGACGCCGTCGGACGCAGTACCGTAGATGGCCTTGATGGCGTCACCAGAGGCCTTGGATAAGGAGAAGGTGTTGACCGTCATGTTGGAGAAGTTCTGGCGGAGCTCAGCCTGGAAATCGTAGCCCGTCGGGACATGGTCAGGGTGTCGAAACACGCCAATGTTGGGATGAAGGCTTTCCAGGTAATTCCTTGTGTGCTAGGTGAGGATGTCAGCATGACTCGGATGCTAGGAGCGGATGGCATTCATGTTGTTGAGTTTTACTTACAGAGGACTTGACTATGGACCATGGCTTGTCAGCTTCAGACGCGGATAGGGGCTCGGATAGGGGCAGGACTCACGGGTCAGGGCGGCCTCGACCTCCTTGTAGACGATGATGTTAACCTTGACACCTCTCTCGGCGGCTGCCTTGAGCAGGTTGTCGATGCGGTAACGCTCATTCTGGGAAGGGGGGCGGCGCAGATAGAGCTCCGGGCTCAGCCACCAATCCAGGATGTAGATACTCTCGCGGGCCTCTGCATGCACACACGATTAGAGGCAGTCGATAGCGCACGTGAGGGACACTCTCGTGTATACTTACGCTCAATGGCTTCCGAGACGGCCCAGAAGTAGGAGCACCCGTCGACATACCACTTGGCGTTGCCGGTGGTCTGGGGAGCAAAAGACTGGAATCGGTTCTCGGCATGGCCGGCAGGATGGTGCTCGTGGCACTCGTGGCCCATGTGCGTGTGGGCGTGACGCTCATCGCCAAAGAGGGCGTCGATGCCCCGCTCCACCTTGCGGAAGATCTGATCCATAGCGGCCGGGGAGCTGCTGCTCAGTTGGAGGTCCTGAGGCCGAAATGTGAGGGTCGGAGTGATGCGGAAATGAAATGGTGATACGAAGAAGCCGCGAGACGTGTGGGTGATGATAAGAATGAAAGTGAGAGCTCACGACGGTGAGTGTGTCGTTATCGCAAGCTTTAGGAGGAGGGGAACCACGGAGCTGAGGCTGTGTAGAAGGACGCGATGAAACAGGGTCCAACGAGCGACGTCAGAGGGGTAAGGTGCATGCGAGTGGCGCGAGGAGGGGAGGTAACCAAGCAGAGACAGAGGTACTTTTCCCTCACCAAGCGGACACACTCAATCAGCTGGTAGTTGCGGTGAAGGAGCTAGAGGTTGGATGAGACCGGATGGTCCGTGTGCCCGGGCTCCCGCAAGTGGACTGAGACGGGAGTCACCTCTCTATGTCCGAGTTGTGAGAGCCTATCAAATGCCAATGGCCTGGGGGAATTGGGTTTCAAGGATTTCCAGTGGGCAGACCTGATTTGTCGGTATGGGAGCTGAATGGGAGCACTTTGGTTCAGGTAGAGCGGGGGAGTACTATCAACTACGGGGGCAACGGGGCAACGGGGGACAAAGTGGGAAGAAGACGACCATGAATACGAGCGGTATGTTGAAGTGAACAATATGCACTTGACCCTTCGCATTGGCACGTCTTCCTCTCGGGTTCTGTGCCTAAGCTTGTTTCGCTACTAAGACAGATCATCTGGGGTCGGCTTCTAGGATGAGTATGCGCTACGGAAGCCAAGGCATGGTCAGCACCTCGTTTCTGCCAAGTAAAGTACCATGCCGAGAACCATCGCTTTTCACAGACGAAGGCAGTTGACAAACAGCCCCAACCCCTGTCGGAAGTTAATGAGAGAGACACGGCTAGTTGCCAAGGCGTAAAACATCGGGCATGCCAGCGTTCGTCGCAAGCCGCCAACCGTCATTCAGGCGTGTAGGGGCCGAAATTCAGCGGGAGCTTGGCCTGGAACCCGTGACGCAACATTCTGCATGTCCGTGCTGCAAGTGCCTGGCGTGGCTGCCACCTTCCATCACATCCTTCCATGCGGGGGGCCCCCTTGCGCCGGGAATTCCCTCGCAGCGCGCGCAACGGGCTTGGGCCAGTTCTACGGCAGAACGGCGCTAAACCAGCCTTAAAGACAACTGAACGATCTCAAAAAAGCTTCTCCAGGATGGATTCCTCCGACCTGGACGACTCCATCGGAATTCCCTTCGTGACTGAGACAGCTGCACGCACACCCTCCGAGCCCGCAACGCCCGCCAAACCCATCTTTTCAATCCTCCACGCTCCCTTCTGAGACCCTCTGTGAGTGTCAGTTGCATCAATTGACTCATACCCGGTCCGTCCCTCACACGCAGCCTCAGCTGGCGCAACTCGTTGTCTCGTGCTCATATACCCGAAGCTGAGGTGAGCTTTTGACAAGTTTCCCCTCACCCTGTCAGGCTAGCCCCCTGGAGTCTTTCAAACGGCGAGTACAAGCTCAGAGCAAACGCCGACCCTCGCTTGGGAAACAGTTGTGGCACGTTTGGAGAATTATCACATCTGATACTTCTTACAGCACCTCGTAGTCTTAACCCTCGGTCCACACTTGTGAGAGGCGGCTCCCAACATCCCATCGGAGCTACAGCGCAACCTCACACTTTTCCTGTGTGGCGGATCTTCGTCAGCCCTCACCCCTCTTGGCCTGTTGTGCAACTTCGAGGCCATCGAACCAGCACGTTGCAGTTCCCTCCTTTACGTTATTCACTACGACGGCCGGTGCAGCTTATTGGGCAGCCGGGGACGCAGACAATAATCATCACAATGTCCTCAAGCTCGGGGACGCCATACATCTTCTCCCCGGCAGATCACAGCCATCTGATCCCTTACCTTGCAGCGTTGCATGCTGCCTGTATCAGCTCAGATCGGACCCTCGCCACCTTCTTACCGCCGCTGTCACACGAAAAGCTGCTGAGCTGGTGGAAGGACTGCATAGCAGAGGTGACCGCCGGAACCCGGATGATGCTGATCCTCCTTGATGAATCCGAGCCGGGAGGCAAGCCCAAGGGAACCGAGCTTATGGGCGTTGTCATGCTGTTGATGCCCTATTCGGAGACTGGTCCGTTCCGCGGCTTCGTCGAGAAGCTCCTCATCAGTCCCAAATTCCGTCGGCGAGGTGGTGCCCGGATGTTGATGAGTGCGTTGGAGGGCGAGGCGGTTCGGCGAGGACGAACACTGCTGGTAAGACCCGGCAAAGCTGTTGTGTACTCAGGCGGTTGCTAATTACAAGCATAGATGGTTGACACTGAAGCTGGCAGCCCGGGAGAAGACGTTTACAGAAAGTTCGGATACGTCGAGGTTGGCAGGATTCCTAACTACGGCATCAGCCCTGCCGTTCCACGACAGCTGAAGGATGAGGTGTTTTTCTACAAGCAGCTCACAACCTAGGCAGTTGACGGTTGGCTCTGGTGGCGTTGTAAAGGGGTCTGCTGTAGATATCCCGGCAGAGACGAGGCGACTCATATCTTCATTTGCGCCCGTGCAGGCAACGGCGTTTGAAAATCAACCAAGGGTTTTTCTTCCGATGCTCGCACGAACAACTTGTCGGGATCTCGACATGTTGCAACGTGACCAGGTGAACTTCCCAGCCTTGTGGGTCCTTCGAAGCGGCTCGGTGGTGGTCCTCTGGGATGACATGACTGCCATTGACCGTTGATGCACTGCAAAGCTACCCAGGACGGTACTTGACAGCAACTTCGGGAGGTCGTCGTGAAAGGGTCCCTTGGCCAAGACTTGGCGCAACCCCGGTGACAGCTTATCAAGAACGCCGATCGGTGACACGATCAACCCCACCTTGAAGTTGACTAGGCGGCGCTACCTCACCTTTCCCACCCGGGACCGAACTACGCTTGGGAGTGTGCGGAGACGGCGAAGCTCGTTGGCTGAACGTCGTTCTTCGTGTACAAAGCCCGAAGCACGCAATCCATCCACAATTAGATGCTATGGGATTACCCAAAACTCTATGTGCTGCGTATGCAAGATTACCTGGGCCAGCTTGGTTGGGAGGGGAAACACGGATAACTAGCCAGGGATCTCCCACCTCCGACAACACTGAGACGGGCTTTCTGTGGTTCTCATCGTCACCGCTTCTCACTGTCTTACAATATATATCTAGCCATCTTCCCCGTCATACTCCAACCATATCAATATATAATAAACTGCTCATCATGTCCGACATTCAGAAAAACGTTGAGGCTGCCTCGGAAAACTACTCGTCTGGCTTCGACAAGGGGCACTTGGCCTTGCCGCCCGCGAAGAAGTATCTCGTCCTCACTTGCATGGACGCCAGAATCGACCCGGCGCGGGCATTTGGAATCGAGTTGGGCGATGCACATGTCATTCGCAATGTAAGAACAAAGCATCCTGTTTGGAGAGGATAGCGCCGCTCACTATAAATGGCAGGCCGGCGCGTCAGCTGTCGACGGACTCCGCAGCATCGTCATCTCGCAACAGCTCCTCGGCACGAACGAGATCGTGCTGGTCAAGCACACGGGCTGCGGCATGTTGACGTTCAAGAACGAAGATGCGTACGGCATCGTCGAGAAGAACCTGGGGTCAGTGCTCCATACGGACCGAACCTTTGTGAGCCCATTCGTTGACGTGCTTCTAGTGCTGATGCCTCATTGGAGGCCAAGAACCGTATTCCCGACTTTCTGCCTTTCCCCGAGCTGGAAGAGGCCGTCAAGAAGGACATTGGCTTCATCAAAGCCTCTAAGCTTGTGCCTGATAGCGTGACGCTGAGCGGTTGGATCTACGAGGTCGAGACGGGAAAGACCAGGCGTGTTGTCTAAAGGGCTACTGCAGGTGCAGAAGCGGTGTGTTTAGGAGGCGGCTGGGCGCAGGGAGGCGGTTCATTGTCTGAGAGGTACGAGGCGTGATTCGGGGAGTTGATATTCATGTTCAGTGGGGTGGGAATATACCGAGACGGATGAATGAGCTTCTGGGTGTTTAATTGAAGAACTTTCGGGACTCTAAAGAAATGCCATCGACCACTTAGTGATCTTGATGGTTATGGTGATGATGATGATGATGAGAGAGCGGCGGGCGAGAGCGTCCTCTAGCGCGCCGACTGACTGTGCTGCCCGTCGTTTTGGGCAGGTAAAGCAACCAAAGTGACCATGCGCTGCCGGGTGCTTAAGGTTGTGGGTCTGGCACCTCCCGCCCGTTTGGTTTGTTGCGGAATTTCAGTGACACCGCGGCGCCTCGATTGGACAGCGGGGCAGGCAGAGATGGCAGTTCCCCACCCCGCCTCTAGAACCAAGACCCTGGCGCCACGCCGTGACAGGCGTCAGGGCCTGAGGCAGTAAACAAAGGGGAAGGGGAGGGCCCAAACGCGGTCCAGTCAGAGAAGGCCAGGAGTGTGTCGCGACTCCAGTCTTGCCAATTTGTTTACCCCGGGGCCAAACATCAACATCCCAAGGGTTGCTACCAACAACAAAACGTCTCCCCCCCCATCCACACCAAGCGTCTACACGCGAACCGCCCAACGCGACCTTCACATCCCACATTTCAATGTAAAAGACCTCGATCGAGCTGGCACCCTCGCTCCCGTCCTCCCTCTCTTTTTTCTCACGATCGTTCGTGCCAATTGCGCGCCTGGTCCGCCCAGCTAGCCGTTTCGGAACAAAGCCTCTACTTGCATCCTTTTCCACTTGTCGCCGAGCGAATCTTCAACCTCCAACACCACCACTACCGAGTGTATCGAGCACCACTGTTACCCGCCTACTCTCGTGTTTCTCCCCGCGCTTCGGGGAGCGCAGAATACTGTACAAGATGGATTCCGATGCCGAGTCCGTGTTTAGCATGGGGGAGGAGTCTGACTTTGCGCCTGCGGTATGTTTGCTTCTTTTTTTTCCTAGCCCGACAGAAATTCCTGTCGCCTAGTGGAGCCCCGTCACTGCGGTCGCACCCTCCCTTCTTGCCGCAACGGGAGAAAAGAGTCACAGTTGCGCCTTCCTCTCGGCCGGGTGTTGATCATCAACCACCCCGGCACGACTGTTCGCCGTCGTATCCTCGATCTTCAAGGCCTGTCACGTTGTCGCAGACCTTCGGCGAGAAGACTACCTTCAACCTCGAACCCACGCTACCACAACCCAACCACATTTGCGCAATCCCTTCAACCCATGTTCCTTCGATCAGCCCTTCCTGTTACCTTACTCCATGACCTTTACACAAACCACCTGGCACGATGTCTATGCTGCTGCCTCCCATATCGCTGTCGAAGCAAGGCTCTTCGCTACCAAAGCCGGCGGCTTCTCAGACAACCCCTCGACCAAATACTGATCCGTCGCAGAAGCCCAAGGCTAAGGCCGCCGCCGCCAAGAAGGCGCCAGCGAAGAAACTGACGCAAACCACACTGAAGACGAAGGCCGCACCCAAGAAGCGGGCAAAGCCCGAGTCCGACGACGACGACGATGGCGCATCCACTTTCTCCAACACACCCCCTAGCGCGAAGAAGCTTAAAAAAGCTCCCGCTGCCAAGAAGTCCAACGGGAACCCTCTCGCGGAAATCGAAAACGACAGCATGATGATCGACGACGAGGAGCCCGTCTCGGGACCCAAGTCCAAGAAGACGGCCACCGATACCTACCAGAAGCTCACCCAGCTCGAGCACATCATCAAGCGTCCCGATACCTACATTGGATCCGTGGAGCCGACAGAGCAACCCATGTGGGTTTTCAACAAAGAGACGAAGCTCATGGAGTATCGCAAGGTTACGTTCGTCCCTGGTCTGTACAAGATATTTGACGAAATTCTCGTCAACGCTGCCGACAACAAGCAGCGAGATGCCACCATGACCTACATGAAGATATCCGTCGACCGCGAGGCTGGAGAGATCACCGTTGAGAACAACGGTAAGGGTATCCCGGTCGAGATCCACGGCAAGGAGAAGATTTACATCCCTGAGATGATCTTCGGTCACCTCCTTACTGGTTCCAACTACGATGACGACGAGAAGAAGACTGTTGGTGGTCGTAACGGTTACGGTGCAAAGCTTTGCAACGTCTTCAGTGAGCAGTTCACCCTCGAGTGTCAAGACTCCAACAGCGGTAAGAGATACAAGCAAATCTGGACCGACAACATGAGCAAGTGCGGCAAGGCAAAGATCACCAGCAGCAAGACTAGCGACTTTGTTCGCGTCACCTTCAAGCCTGACTTCAAGCGGTTCAGCATGACTGGCATTGACGACGATCTCGAGGCTCTGATCTACCGCCGCGTCTACGACATGGCTGGTACCGTTCGGGGCATCAAGGTGCACATGAACGGCACCCACATCAAGCTTGCCTTCAAGGGCTACTGCGAGATGTATGCCAAGGCTATCGCGAAGGAACGCGGTGCCGAGGAGGGCGTCGAGCCCAAGGTCGTCGTTGAGGTTGACAAGACTGACGCTCATCCCAGATGGGAGATTGCCTTCACTGTGTCAGACGGCTCGTTCCAGCAGGTCTCGTTTGTCAACTCCATCGCCACTACATCCGGTGGAACACACGTCAACTATATTGCCGACCAGATCACGGGCTCACTGCTCAAGACCCTCGACAAGAAAAAGAAGGGCCACGCTCTCAAGCAGAACCACATTCGCAATCACATCTTCATCTTTGTGAACTGTCTTGTCAACAACCCCGCGTTCACTTCCCAAACGAAGGAGCAGATGACCACCAAGGTCAGCCAGTTTGGTAGCAAGTGTGCCTTGACTGAGGAATTCCTAAAGAAGATCGCCAAATCAGACGCCATCCAGAACATCATCGACTTCGCCGAGAAGAAGGCCGACAAGATGATGGCCAAGAGCGACGGAAACAAGCGATCTCGCATCAGCAACTCGAAACTAGTTGATGCCAACTTGGCTGGCACCCGCCATGGCCATGAATGCACACTCATTCTCACGGAAGGTGACTCTGCCAAGAGTTTGGCTGTTGCCGGCCGTGCAATTCTCGACCCCGACCGCATTGGAGTTTTCCCCCTTCGTGGTAAGATGCTGAACGTCCGTGATGCATCCATCGACCAGATCACGAAGAACCAGGAAATCCAGAACATCAAGCAGTTCCTCGGTCTGAAGCACAAGCAGACCTACACCGACACAAAGAGTCTACGATATGGCCATCTGATGATCATGGCCGATCAGGATCACGACGGTTCTCATATCAAGGGTCTTCTCATCAACTTCTTGCAGGTCCAGTACCCATCCTTGCTGCAAATCCCCGACTTCTTCCGGGAGTTCATCACTCCTATCGTGAAGGTCTGGCAAGGACCCAACCCCAAGAAGCCGGTTCGCCTCAAGTCTTTCTTCACCCAGCCTCAGTACGAAGAGTGGAAGGAAGGCCACAGGAGCGAGCTGTCCAGGTGGCACTACAAGTACTTCAAGGGTCTGGGTACCAGTTCGAACGAGGACGCCCAGGTCTACTTTACCAACCTCGATGACCATCTCAAGGAGTTCGACACGATGAAGCCGGATGAGGTCGAGCTCTTCGACCTGGCTTTCTCCAAGAAAAAGGCAGACGCTAGAAAGGAATGGCTCGGTAACTTTGTGCCCGGTACTTTCCTCGACCACTCGACCAAGTCCATTACCTACACGGACTTCGTCAACAAGGAACTTATCCTTTTCTCTATGGCTGATAACATGCGATCCATCCCTTCCGTCGTCGATGGATTGAAGCCCGGTCAGCGTAAGGTCATTTACGCCTGTTTCAAGAGGAACTTGGTCAAGGATCAGAAGGTTGTTGAATTGGCTGGTTACATTTCCGAGCAGACCTCGTACCACCACGGTGAAGTCTCTCTCCAGCAGACCATCATTGGTCTTGCTCAGAACTTCGTGGGCTCCAACAACATCAACTGCTTGGAGCCCTCCGGAAACTTCGGTTCTCGTCTTGCCGGTGGTTCGGATGCTGCCAGTCCTCGTTACATTCATACGAGACTGTCTCCCTTCGCCAGAAAGATCTTCTCTGCCCTCGATGAGCCCAACTTGGAGCCCCAGTACGAGGACGGAAAGAGAATCGAGCCCAAGGTCTATGCGCCGATCCTTCCCATGATTCTGTGCAACGGTGCCGATGGTATTGGTACTGGTTGGAGTACCTCCATCCCCAACTACCACCCGATCGACATCGTCAACAACCTCAAGAGGCGCATGGGCCGCCTCGATGCCTCAAACCCAGAGGACGCTGCGTTCCAGCCCATGATGCCGTGGTTCCGTGGCTGGAAGGGTACTCCCGAGCAGTCCGAGAAGGACCGTTACAAGTTCAACGGTATCTGTGAGCTCGACGAGAGAACAGGTGAAGTCATTGTTACCGAACTCCCCATCCGCATGTGGACAGATGACTTCAAGGCGAAGCTTGAAGAGGTCATCAGCGGCACTAAGGGCCCGGTTTGGATCAAGGATTACAAGGAATTCAACGACCACAAGAACGTTCACTTCGTCATTCAGATGGATGACAAGCACTCCAAGGACGTCTTGGCGGATGGTCTCATGGAGCGGTTCAAGCTTAGCAAGCAGATCGCGACCTCAAACTTGGTTGCCTTTGACACTCGGGGCCAGATTCGCAAGTACGAAAAGGTCGAGGACATTCTGGAGGAGTTCTACAACTACCGTTTGGAGATGTACGCTCAGCGCAAGAAGCACTGGCTCGGTGTATACCACTCGGACTTCAGAAAGCTCTCTGAGCAGGCCCGTTTCATCAGGGAGATTATCGACGGCAAGCTTATCGTGGCCAAGAAGAAGAAGCAGGTCCTCGTTGAGGAGCTTGCCAAGCGCAAGTACGAGGCTTTCCCCAGGAACAAGGACAAGAACGTCAAGAAGAAGTCCACCGACGAAGACATGGAGGGCAATGATGAGGATGAGGAGGACAACGACGAACAGACCAACGGTTACGACTACCTGCTTTCTGTTGGTGCCCCTTGACCTGACGCTTAAATCTAAATACTGACCGACTCAATTAGATGCCCATCTGGTCTCTGACCTATGAGCGCCTCGAGAAACTGCAGAGACAGATCGAGAACAAGAAGGCCGAGCATGACGCCCTGCTCGCTCTGAGCGAGAAGGACCTCTGGATCAAGGACCTCGATGATTTCGTGGCCGAGTGGGAGAACCAGATGGCCTTGGACGCCGAAATCCAGACCAATATCCGCAGACTCGGTAGGCGTGTGTCGAAGAAGATTGGCGCTGGTAAGGGCCGCAAGGCCAAGAAGGACGACGATGACTACGCGCCTGCCGAGAAGAAGCGTGCTGGCGCCAAGGCTAAGGCTGCTCCCAAGGTAACGGAGAAGGCAGCTGAGAGGTTTGCCGCCATGTTTGAGAAGGCAAAGGTGAAGCCCAAGAAGGAGGATGCTGAGTCCGACGCCTTCTCGGACGACGACTTTGCTGCTCTTGGTCGCAAGGGCTCTGCCAAGCCAACGGCTCCTACTGAAACCACCCGCCCGAGGGCGGCGGCAACTAAGAAGAAGCCCATCTATACCTTGAGCGAGTCCGATGACGATGAGGACTTTGCCAGCCTGGACAAGAAGAGCGCTTCAGTTCCAGTCGAGTCCGCGACCGAAGACAATTCCTCACAAAGCCACAAACCTGTGGCGGCCAAGAAACCTTCACCTCGGGTGGAAGAGTTGGAAAGCGACGACGACTTCGAGAATTTGGGAAGCAAGAAGAGCTCCAGTGTGAAGCCCGAAACGAAGCCCGCAGCAAAACCTGCCGCAAAGCTTGCATCAGTCGAGCCTGAAACCAAGGGCAATACTTCTCGTACGCAGCGGGCTGCTTCCACGAAGAAGTACGTCCTCGACGAGTCGTCTGAGCTGTCTGAAGACAACTTCCAAAGCGTCGAGGAGAAGAGCGCTTCTCCTGAGCCGGCACCCGCGAAGCCCTCAGCTAACGGCAGGGGCCAACGAGCTGCCGCGACCAAAAAGTCCAAGTACATCCTGGACGACGAGTCAGAGTCTGAAGCAAACGACAGCCAGATCGGAGACATTGGCGCTCTGGTTCGGGGCATCGGCGCGCCAAAGGCAGAGACGGAGAAGGGCCGGCTTAGTCTGTTCGCCATGAACCGACCTGACGGACGCGACTCGACTCTGCCCAAGATCAAGACCAAGGCGTCAAGAAACTTCGATGACGATAGCATCGATGACACCAACTACGAAATGCTTGCTCGTTCGTCTCCTCACAAGACGTTCACCAAGGGCGATGACATCGACAGCTTCTTGAGCGACGACGGTGCCCCTGCTGCCAAGGCTTCCAAGGCATCCACGTCCAAGGAGGCCAAGTCTGCCCCTGCCGCCGCTGCTGCACCTGCGAAGAAGGGTCGTGGCCGCCCTGCGGGAACGAAGAACAAGGCCAAGGATGCCGAAGCAGCACCCGCGCCCAAGGCCAAGCCCAAGGCGAAGGCTGCCTCCAAGCCGACCACGCTCTCTCCTGCTGCCAAGGCATACGCCGCGAAGAAGGCGACCAAGCGTGTCTTGAGCGACGACGAGGACGACGACGTTGAGATGGAAGAGCCCGAGTCTCCGCCTCGGCCGGCTGCTAGAGGCAGACCAGGACGAGCGGCTGCGGCCAAGGCGAAGGCTAAGCCTACCTATGTCATCGACGATGATAGCGAAATGGATGTTGACGAGCCGGAGAGTGATGACCCGTTCGACATGGACAGTGATTAAGGGAAAAGGGGAAGGGTTTTAGTTACGCGCGAGAGCGTGTGTGTGCTTTGTGTGTACACGGGATAGTATCGACGAACGGGGATCACGGCGGGTGGTTTCACGAAAGGGCATACAGCACTGCCGCTTTCTCTTTTATTATTTTTAGTATTTTGCTCTTGCTCTCTGGGAAACATCTCAATCCCTTCTGCTCTATTTCGGGCCTCGATGGCCTGTGGCTTGCTAGTATACCTATATCGTGTTCCCAAACGGGGAGGAAGCAAGGGTCCACCATGGAATTATTCAAAACCTCAAATCTTTCGCTTTCCACTCCAGCGTGATTTCTCGGTGTCTCGCAACGCGTCGCTGGCCATGGACCTTGCAAGATGGCGCTGGCCGTGTGGTGGCTTTCACATCTTGACATCTCTGGGGACAGACAGCAGGACAAGCTGGCTTGGTCCCGAGATGCATTAGGTCGTTAGAGCCAGTTGGATATTCGATATTGGAGCGGTCACAACCTAGCATCACATCACGCATGCGCCATGGCAGACTGTCGTTGCCAAGCCACAACGCTCCGACGCATCTGACCAACTGGCAGTCTCGAAACCTGCACGCCACCCAACATCACGAAGCGAGTGTGAAATGAACGGCCGGGTGTAGAAATGACTCGTTTCTTTGCGTCCCCTAGACAATCTGATGATCCCCCTTTCGCCAAAGCCGTGTGCCATGAAGAGAGAACTAAAATGAAAGCCAATACACTACATGCGTACACGATAATTCGTTCCACGTCCGTTGCCTCCGCTTGGAGACACCTTCTGATATTATCCTTTTCGTTGCTGACTATGTGCAACTAAAACTCCTTGCCAGAACCCACCCGCAAACCCGACGACGCCAACAAAGTCGTAGAGAGAAAGGTGGTGCGCGTGATCTCGTTCATGTTCGTCATGAGTCGTTCCGTTGTCGTCGAGCTAGCGGGCATAAAATGTATGCTGACTAGCCCTGTGTACACTCAGAAAACCAACCGAACAAGACATTTAGGAGGCGACCATGGGGGTCTTCTCCTCGGCCTCCGGGACAACCGGCTCGGACTGGAAGTCAGCCTTGGGAGGAGCCGGGAAGTCCTGCTCCTCGACGGAGGGGCGGACGTCGGCAGGAGCCTGAGACTGAGGAGCGGGGGAGCGAGCAGCCTCGGGGGAGGCGGAGCGGCGGCCGAGCAGCTGCTGGGCCTTGGCAGTGTAGTCACCCATGTACTGCTTGGTGATGTTGGTGGCCTCGGCGGTGTGCTTGCTGGCGACAGTGCGGAACTGGCTCGTCTGCTGGTTGATCACCTCGCCGGCGCGGTTGAGCTGGGCGTCGATGAGCTCCTGGTTGGAGGTGTACAGGAGGGGAACCATGAAGAGAGCAGTGGTGGCGATCAGGGAAAGACCCCAGAAGGGGACGATCTTGACAAGGTAGTAGGCGATGAAGGCACCGATGAAGGCCTGCGACGCAAAAGTTGTGTCAGCCGCGATGATGTCAATTATTGTGGAGATTGTCACGCGAGCAACTTACAGCAGCAGAAGCACCAACGTTCTCGGCGAAGACGATGCGCTGAGCCTCAATCACGAAGAAGTTGACAAGCTCGTGAACGTCTCCGATGGCGGCATCGAGCGTCTCTCTGGGGATGACGTAGTAACGTCTGGGGCGGAGCTGGGTAGCGAGGCCGTTGTTGAGGACGAGCTTGCCGGCGAGCTCGGCAAGGACGGTGGTGCCAAGCACCATCCAAGTGAGCTTCAAGCTGTATCGCAGAACATCGAGGTAACGGGCAGCAAAGATGAGGGTGACAATGGAGCTGTAGGCAATGGCCGAAGCACCTGTGGCTGGCTGTCAGTCGGGATTCGGGGAAGAGCGGGAATCCGAGCTATCACGTACGAGGGTTGTTCCACGAGATAAGCTCGAAGAAGAAGGAGTGGTAGTGAGTCAAGGGCTGGCCGGTGGCGGCGGGGGTAGAGGGCGTTCTGCGAGCGGCGGCGAGGTTGCCGAGCTCGTTGGTAGTCTTTGCAGACTGGTCCTTGACACTCTGGGCGACGGGTCCTGAAAGGAAGAAATCTGGTCAGTACGTGGTGATGCGCCACAAAGACGTCATACGGGGTCGGATAAAACAAAAACAACATACCGTTGGAAACCTGCTCGAAGGCAGCGGTAGCGTCTGGGAGGAAATTGTTAGCTCATCGTCGTTGCTCGAGGTGAGGATTGGAGCTTGAAACACTGTTCGCGCAAGTTAGCCGGAGGTTCCTGAGGGAGCGAGATCTGTGACGCGGGAGTCGCGGGATCTCTGGGCTGGCGGCGACTACGTACCTTACTCTCCTTGGTGGCCTGGATGTAGGTGTTGCCGTTGGCAGAGGGAGCCGTGGTGGGCGCGTCCGGGAAGTCAGACATTGTGAAAGATCGCGACGAGGATTTGCTGCGATGTGTGTTTGTGTGTGTGTGTGTGTGTGTGTGTGTGTCGGTGTTGTATTTGGGAGGAGAGAAAGAAGTTGCGGTCGGGGGAAGTGGTGTCGTGTGATACCGGGACCAGCTCGAAAGCTAGGGGTGTTTCAAGAAATCGGAGCTTGCGTGGGGTTGGAGAGATGTTTTGGTTTTTGGGGTAGGAAGCAGCAGGTAGCAGTGGCTGAAGCTGGGAGACGTTCTTAAGATAAAAGGACGGGAGGGATGTTGTAGGACGAGAGATGGCCAGGTGTTTGGATTTTGTGACGATAATGTTCAGGTCTGGAAGCTCAGGCAGAGAGGAGAGATAAAACCAAAAGAGGTGTGGGTGCGGGTAGAGGTTTTGGTAGCAGGTGGAAGGCAAGGGAAAAAAGGCAAGGGGAAAAAAAAGACTTTGTGTGTGTGTGTGTGTGTGGTGCGGCGGCGACGGCGGTACTTGCTTTGGGCGTCCGACTGGGAGCGCTGGGTGATGCAAATGAAGATCCAAAAGAAAGGAGCAGGAGCACCGCAGAGCCCACCGGGGGCCGTCCGTGCCAACGCCAGGCCGGGGCCAGGCCAGACCAGACCAGTAGAACAGAGCAGAGCAGAGCAGAGCAAAGCAAGGCAAAGCAAAACAACACCACAGTCCATTGCAGTCCCCGTCGTCCCCTCTGGGATGAAGCAGTGACGCTCTTGTCTCCCAAACAGGGCCTCCCAGCCGGCGATGGCTCCACGTAGTATCCGTACTGATGCCGTGACCATGGTGGCTTGCACCATTCAGGAGCTTGTCTCCCTTCGATATTTTCCCCCTTTCGTCAGTCAGTCTCCCTATCTCTCTCTCTCTCTCTCTTGCGCGCTCATTGCCTCATCGCATCCTTGCTACCTGATGGTCTGCCCTCACCTAACCCTTACCTCACCAGCCCAACAAGCCTGGCTAGACCTGGGCTGTCCTCACTCTTTGCTCTTGATCCCCATCCATATGCACGCCAATCTTACTGGGGTAGGTAGGTACTGCAGCAAACACCCACGCACCAATGACTGCAGTGGTGGAGCACACACTGGACAGAGGAACGCGAGGAAGAGAGAGAGAGAGGGGCCCCTGTTCGGGCTGTGGCTAGTGCGCGGGCCAGCTTGTTTGCGAACTGATGACGCAAAAGCTATGCCACAGCAACCAATCGCCTGGTACCCGTCGACTACCTCGACTGCCTCTGCCGCGAGGACGTCGCCTCGCCCAATGACGATGTATTGCGTCGGTCTAGCCAGACGGCCCCCCGTCTTTGGCGTCATCCCACCGTAGCTGCGTGCTAGGTATTCGTCGCCGCTAGCTATGCCGCCGGCATGTGACGTCCTTTGCATTTCATCCCCTCTCCCTCTCTCTCGGCCCAACAGGCGACCACGGCTGCGGCAAAAAAAAAAGGACCCAGAATCGTTATTCACCATATCATCATGGAAGTGGCTGAAGCGACAGGGGGGCACGCGGAGGAGCTCAGAATCCTGGAAATCCTGAAACCATGGCATTTCGCCGATAGGTATCTGATGCTGTCGTCTTCGTTGGTCTCCCCTTTCTTGCCTCCCCGTTCCAAACGGGCTCGCGTGTCCTCAAACACCCTTATCCATCCGGTAACCCAACGCATCATCCGTACGCAGTAGGCAGACGCCGCGACGCCACCGCATCCTCCTGCCAATGGCCATGCTGTCCCGTTCTGCTGCCTCCACCTGCTGTCGCGCCCGTGATACATTGCCCAAAGGGGTGGAAAGAGGGACAGCGCAGTGGTCGGAGAGACAGGGCTGGTCCTAGCTTTCCGAGCTACGCCGTAGGCCTAGCGCACACTGCAGATTATGGCCCGTCCACTTTAGCCCCTCCTCCTCCTTAGCAACGCGCCGTCACAACTCCCACGATATCACCCTGGCCTCGAAGCACCATTACGACCAGCGCTCGCCCTTATCCGTTGCCGGGCTTCTCATCTTCGAAACCCGGCATACCCCAAGAAGCTATATCCTTCAACTCACTGCCAGCGCATCACTCTACGCTTTAGCGCAGCTCGCCCATGGCGTCCCGGGCCCTAGGTAACCAACTCATCGGCCGTTGCGAGGGAGCTGCGGCCATCGGACGAACCATGCCAAGCATCTCTCTTCTGCCCACGGACACGCCAGTCATCGACAACATGGCGAGCTGTATAGTTCTGCCATTGTAGTCTCGTCCACGCCGCCAAACGCCGCCGCGTCCATCCGAGCATCCGGCCCGCCCATCAAAAGGCGGGCGCGGACCGGACGGAGGCCCCGGGGGCTCTCCCACTGTTCTCAACCCCGCGGGAGCACGTGCCCCAACCTCTCCCTCCTGCCACGGCGGCACGACACACACGTGCACAAGCGCCGTCCGCCCTCCGTGACATCTGACATCTCGGGATGGAAGCAGAGAGCATCAGGACGCCAGCTCCAACGGGACGGGGCGCGGTCCAGCCTGACTGACGGTGAAGTGTCATTTGCCATGCACACGTGCACCCCGGAGCGGTTGGTCATCATGGCCTTCTCAGACTTCAACCGAACCCCCCTTGACAGGGTTTCCAGAATCCTGCGACCATCTCGGCCACACGGCACCACCAACAGACTGGACTCCCCGTTTCCCTCCCGTTAATGTTACTCAAAACAAAAAAAAATCCCCATCTCGTGTGTGACACAGCAACCGCGTCAAGTGTCAAGAGGCGCAGATGGGAGAAGAGGCTCTTCAATTAAACACCTCTCACCAATATCGAAATATTTTTCTTTCATCTCGAAAAAACCCACTCTTACCATGGCAACGAGTCCAGCGACAACATCGCCAGACCGGCACCATCCCAGTTCTCGCGTGGAGATGCCTCCAGTAGGCGCCACACCTTTTTTTTCTTTTTTTTTTTTTGGTCCTCAGCTCTGCTCTGCTCTGCTCAGCTCAAACTTTCACATGCAAATAGCGAACCTTGACCCTTTTTGAGTTTAGCTCCCCCCACCCCGCCGCCGCGCACCCTCGTCCATTCTCGCAGGCCATTCACCTTTCGCATGGCACCGCCACAAGGAGGGGCGGGCGGGTTTGGGGGTCTAAACATGGGACGCAGAGGCCAGGGCGCCAAGCAGCTGGATGGGGTCCTCCTCGGCCCAAAACTGCACCGGATGTAACGTCAACGTTGATGAGAAAGAGTGATCCACGATGCTTCCCGAACGGGCGACCGAAAAAGGGGCTTACAGGCCGCACGCACTGGCAGCGGCCCATTGATGTCGTCAAAGGCTCTGGAAGCCATCTTGAATTAGTTCGTCACTAATTGCGGATGCGAACAAAAGTCAAGCACGTTCAAGCTCTGGAGCGTTCGTTCATTATCATATCGATGGGCCCGGTGTGACCAGCATGTCTTGTCATGTCTTCAATTCTTTCACGTCAAAAAAACCCCTACTCGTGGTGTTCTTGTAGTGTCTGTCTGTACTTCTACTTCGTCTGCCCCGAAGGGGTAAGAGCTCTGGTCCATCTGCCTACCAGACAGGAAACAACAAACAGAACCGACGGACATTAAATTCCTAGTCATCAAGGGTCGGGGACGGAGACCTTCCGTCTCGCTGGGGGGGTGGTGGGAGTCGTGTTTCATCAACTCCGACGCCATGTTGTATGTGTGAATGGAAGAATAAAAACGAGTAAACAGTCTAGAATGCCAATGCAAGGGGGGTCTGTGTTTGAAGAAAAAAGGAAGAGAAAAAGAATGCTCCCCCCAACGTGGTGAGCTTACCCAGCTTCCACGGATGCAAAATGACTCGGTCTACTCTCACTCAAATGGCGAATGAGAAGACAGTCTAGCGAGCAGACAGGCCTGGTACCCGTTGCCATAAGAAAAGAAGAAAAGAAAACCACAATGCAAGATGCTCTAGATGCTCCGAATGCTTCTCTAGTTATGTGTTGAAACGCCGATGTGGTCATGAGGTGGTCGATCTGATCCGGTCTATCTCCTCCAGCCCCAGAATCCTCCGGCCGCAGGCGCCGCAGCCGCAGCCGGAGTTGTCGCCGGTGAGGCGGGTTTGATGGGTTCTGTAGTTGCGCCGGTAAGACGGCCGAAAACGCCCATGGCGGCTGTGGCGGCCGAGGCGGCCGGTCCTACCGCTGGCGGTGTCTCTGCGGCCGCGAGACCATAGGCCTTGCGCAGGCTTTCCAGTTTCTGCTTGGTCTCTTCGGCCTCTTGCCTGGCGATAGCTTCGGCAGTCTTGGCCTGAACGAGCTCCAGCAACAACGCCTCGTGTTGGTCGTCCGTAGGTGGCATAGGTGGAGGGGCCTGGGTGGATGGTGGAGGGGTTGAGTCGTGAGGCTTGGGCAGAGACGAAGACCGCTTGTTAAACATCGATCCGGCTTGAGACGGTGTCGACTTGCTCCTACCAAGCTTGAGCTCTCTCAAGCCACTTGAGCCGCTCGCAGAGCTCTTCCGCGTGGGTCCATCGCTGTCGTGCTGAGTATTACTATCCGCTTCGGCGGCCGATGCCCGCGCCCTCATGCTATGTATCTGTTTCTCTAGTCGCTGTTTGTCTTGGTGCAGGAGGCGTGCGTGTGAGTGTGATTCACGCACTTGATCCTTCAGGGCGGATATCTCCTGGTCCAAGTCGTGGATCTTTCGGTTGTAGTCCTGGGATTGCGACACCGCACTGGCGAGCTGATCCTTGAGTTGCTGCAATTCCTGTTGCATCTGCGACTTTGACTCTCCTCGGGACATTCTACGATCGCTGCTGCCATGACGCCCAAACCGTTCCTCAACGGTGTCGAGGAGCTGCGATAGATCCTCTGGTGAGGGTCCGGCCTGCTCATCAGTCTTGGAAGTGGACACGTCTCCCTGGCCTCCCTCGCGTGCCTTAGCTGCGGGGTCATCGGCTGCTTTGAGAGTATCGACGCTCGCATCGGTACTAACAGAGTCGTTGCTGGCCTTCTTGCGCAGACCATCTAGCAGCGATCGGACGGCCTGTTTATCCTCCTCGCGCTGTTCTCTTTCTTTCTGTAGTTCGTTCGCGAGCTGGGCGTGGTTTCGTTGCAATTCGGTCAAGGCGGTGAGAAGGTCTTCGATCTGGGTATGCAGGGCATTTTCCTTGTTGTTCTTGCCGCCGTTGCCGTACAGTGCCTTGCCGCCAGGGATGGGCGTCGATTCGCGGAGGGATGAATTGTCGTCGGTGTTGGATGAGTCTCGGGATACGGTAGTGGCTTCGGTGGATGCAGAACTGAGGACGCTGACGGAGCTGGCTTCCATCGAATTGAGGGTGGAGGCCAGGCTCTGCTTAGAGGTGCTCCTGCGCAACATACTCAAAGGCCGTGACGGAGCGGTGAGGCCCGGGCTGAGGGTGGAGGAGGACTTCGGGGAGATGATGGTGGAGGAAGCCCAAATGCGGCCGAGGAATCGGGAGGCTGCAGTGGTCACGTCGGAGGAACGCGCCGCATTTGCGCTAGCGATCTGCGCGTCTCGGTACCCCTGTTCCAACTGGAGCAATTTCTCTCGAGTGACAACGCCCGATAAACTGACAAAATCCTGGACAAACTCGTCTGCGTTGTAATGGTAACAATCCCAGAGACCTCTCGAAAGGAGGAGTTGCATGACATCCTCGAGCTCGGTGCACGCTAATATCCGGGCCTGGTTCTTCTGCATCAGGGATAGGGCGACCCGCATCAGGGTCTCCGGGGCCCCCTCGGCAAAGATAACATCGTAGATGCGAAACAGCATTGGCAGGGGACATGTTACGGCAAAAAAGCTGAGGAACCACTGTGAAACGTACGCCGGATCGACTTGCAGGTCCTCTAGGTGGTTCGACACTGGCGTCATGTGTTCTCGAAGGAGCTCTCGGAATTGATGGATGCGCACATGCAGTCCTGACAGGTCGGGCAGGAAACAGCTGCGCAAATCGTATCGTTCCATCAATCTGCCCATCTGAATGTTAGCTTTGACGTCGCATTTGCCTCAAATCCATGTTTCTTTTTCGTCTTCAACCCCCTTTTTGGAGCTTTGCATTTCTTTTTCCTGGAGGACACTTACCGGACCAATACGCAAAACGCCTGCTTGTCAGGCATGTGCATCAATAGCGGACCAACAAGAAATGCGAGTCCCTGGCAATAACCAATCTTTGTATCGTAGAGACTGAAGCATTTCAACACTCTGCCGAGCATGCGCTGCCCGTCGCCTTCGGGGTCGCGAAACATGTCGACGCCTGGAAAACTTCGCCCAAGATCTTTACCAATAATGGGTTCGTAGGGGCTCGTCTCCCCGCTGAATCGCTCGAATTGCTCTTCTAGTGCCGAGTCGCGAGCGCCCGCCATGCTTTGCCACACAACTCCTCGTAGAGGAGGAGGGATGCCTTTGCGGATCTTGTTGGAGAGGAGAGTCGGCAATCGAGCAGCCGTCTGCTGGTAGTCCTTAACGAGTGCAGCGTAAAACTCTAGATCCGTCATCGGCGGCGGCGGGAGCATCGAGTATCGCAGGGCTGGGGGCGTTGGCCCGTGGACCATGTGTCGTAACTGTGCCATCGATGGCGGTCTGGGGCGATTGGAAGCGGCGACTTGCTCAACAGCCTGAACTTTGATGCTCTTGGGGTTCGTGGCTAGCTTGTCGTTTTCCTGCTCCAGCATAGCCAACAACATGGCTGTTGACTGTTGAGATTGTTAGCCCTGTCGCACTCGAGGCAGAAAGTAAACACGGCATGCTCTTACTCTGTCTGTGTCTGCGTCCCTAGGCTCTTGTGCTTCTGATTTTTGCAATTCGTCCCAATTGACCTCTTCGTCTTCTTCTTCGTCTTCTTCTTCTTCTTCTTCCTCCTCCTCCTCCTCGGGGATGCTCTGAGCTTGAGGCTCTCCAAGGCCTCCTTGAGCTCGACCCTCGTCTCCTTCTTCGTTGTCCTCCTCGCAGTCCACAAGCTCGTCCTGGAGGCTCTTCGTGGAGTTCGTGGCAGGTAGTGGCGTGGCTGGGTCACTAGGCGGCGAATCGTCGGTCTCGCTCTTACGCAGGTTCTCCGCCTCTGCCTTCTCAACAGAATACGGCACCTTTTCGATTCGAACGGTGCTGGGTCTCCTCATCGGAGGAGAGTCGGGGCTGATGCTGGTGTCGAGAGTCAGGACAGGCGGCTCGGATAGCCTGACGGTGACCATGGAGTCGTGAGCCAGCATCTTGGGCGTCTCCCGGTGGTCGTCGGCAGTAGCGGCGGGTCTCGGTTCGGGTTTGGCATGCGTTAGCTCAGTGTTGTTTTCGACTTCATGATCCCGTTGCTGCAGCGCCGGCTCCATGGCCAGGCCCCCCGACGGGTGTGTTGGTATTCTGGCAGAGAGGGAGCAGACGCAGCAGTGACTGGAATGTGGACTCGTCGAATGTGTCCAGTGGTAGGACGGTCAACGGCGAGTACGCGCAGCTGCGGTCCCGTTCCTAAGACTCATAAAACGCAGGGCAATCTCGCCTGGACCAGTTCGAGGTCGGGTCGTGATTTTTTTCTTCTTCTTAGGTATGGGCGGCGGTTCGCGAGTCGACGGGAATCGGTCGTGCCGAACGAATGCGTAGCTGTAGGGGGAGACACAACTACAATTAATGCGGATCCAGGATGTGCAACAAGGTTGTTGACGGTAGCACGGTAGCCAAAGGAGACAGAGGTAGATGTGAGCGTGACTTGAGTGAGGTGGACGAGTGTGGCTTTGGACCCGAAAGATCTCGTCCAACGGCTTCCTTGTAAAATAAAGCGCAGGTACCAAGGGGGTGATCAAGCAACGAGGCAAGAAGCAAGCCGGCAGCCGGTCTCCTTGTAGAATGCGACGCTCGGGAGGAGAAAGGGCGGCTTCAATTGGATCTGCTGGAGGGAGCGAGAGACAGAACGGGCCCAAGGTTGGGCGGCACAAGAGGGGATTGGCCTGGTTTGGCGCGTCGAGTGCTGCCTCTGGATTTGTCGTTTCATCGAGGGGCGAAGGACGCTGAAACGCTGGGGGGGCGGCCCAGGGTGGATTCTTGGCTTGGGATTACCCAGGCACTTTCGAGCAATTGCAGCCTGCAGCAGTACTGTATGTTCTGATTTGTGAATGGGGCCGCCTTCTCCTTCCTGATGCTGAAGCTGACGCTGATGCTGAAGCTTGCTGCAAGGCACCTTCGGTTGCGGGCCGGGGTGGCTCGGCGGGTTCGGGGAAGGGGGAGCCACAGCTGAGGACGGTCAGGGTTATTGCGCCTGTCGTCTGGTCAAACGATTTGGTGCAGGAGCCGGTCCAGACGTGACTAGACTCCGGTACGATGGCCCTCTAGCTCAGGTGGCACGGATCGTAGGTGGTTTTTCGAGCTCGAGTTGCTCAAGATCACCACCGCGCGTGCTACAGAGAGCTTCGTTCCTGCCCGGGCAATCCAAGGGCTTGCTCGGCGGAAGAGAAGAATGCGGGATGTGCAACAGGGGAAAGGGAGGGTTGGATGATCAGATGAGATTGGGTTGCGTTGGTGCTGGGGATTGGGCGAATCTCGACTGGTCTGGAATGAATCGAGCGGTCAAGGAATGCTCGTCGCCCAAGAGAAGAAGAAAAAGAAGGAGGAGGGGGTGGTAGAATGAGTCCAAGCCGTCTCCCTGATTCCAGGCTTCTTAGGCGGCGAGAACGGGAAAGCGAAAGGGCGCAGAGCGGACAAGCCAAGGTATTGTTCAAAGGACTGATCAGCACCATTCATCCGACGATCGATGAGGTGCGTGCAGCTGCTGCAACCTGCGTTCTTTTTGGGGGGGGCCCGGATGCAGCACACTAGAGTGGTAGGCTGGATAGATGGGACGGCGGGAATTGGCACATCAGCAACCTCGAAGTTTGATTGATGACAACTTTTTCGTATGAGCCGGACGGCAAGAGAGGGGAAACATAATTTCCCAGGGGGCTGCAAGCAAAAGACGCGACGCCCGGGGAATCGCACGCGCCCCATTCGCCCTTTCCTGTCTCCTGACGTGTTTGTGTGTGTATGTGCCTTGGAATTATTCACATCACCCCAGGATCGGTCACTTGACCCCCTCGACGCCCATCTTATCTCCTCGTCTTCCTTAGAGTCCACAATCGATATCGCCATCCAGCCCCATCCCCTATTTCTGGACATCAAATAACCCCGTTAGAACCCAACTGCAGCCCGTGGCTGATAGCGCCTCACACGGATCTTGGATACTTGCCAATCAATCCGTGGCGTGTCAAAGCTCGGACGAACGAAAGGAAACAGAGGGTAGGAGTGCATGAAAATGAAAATAAAAATAAAAAGACACGCGGATAATAAGTCAGCCACTTCTGCAAGGTACAGAAGCCCTGTTGGTGCCCGCCAACTGCCCAATCATGTCCTGCCGCCCCTGAACAAGCTTCCCACGCGTGCTGCACGAACGACAGGCATCGAACTCCATCCATCCAGCCTGACCCAACCCGAACGACAGACAGTGCGATTGTACATACACATCGGCGGGTCACTTCATCACTCTCTGGCTGCTGCCGTCTCCTCATCTCGATCCTCCTCTTATTTGCCGGGTATTACCGAGTACCCAACCGCATCCACAGAGCCCAGGCCCAATGGCGGGGGAAATGGGCCTTCAGTGTCTGGTTCTCGTCACCTTCATTCTTAGGTGAGGAAATGGTCTTCGGCCTTATGAATGAAGCAAAGAAGGATCACCACATCCAGCGTCTTGAGCCGTGCTTTGATTTCGCCACTTCGGCCTCCGCTATATCTTGAAATCCTAGGTCTTGTACCAACTCGCATGGTTTCGATGCGCTCCAATTTCGCAAAGATAGTCAGGGGAAGACAGCGACGCGAGAAAGGCTGCTCTCTGGCTGGGAACCCACAGACGTTATTCCCATCACGTCCGCTCTGGACCAGCAGTTCCACAGTTGGACGAGATGAGTCTGCCGCTGGGAGATGAGCTCACCATACGCCACCGGCGCGTGGCGACAGAGGTACCCATACCCGAGCGCGGCTTCGCAGTCCCCTCCAAGGGCGAGGCTGATCTTGGTGCTGTGGCATGCACAAGTTGAACAATTGCACCTCAACCCGAGGCCATGTGCACTTGCTTCCTACTCTTCCCCGCATGACGGACTGAACTTGTCAATTGTTGACGTTGTCTCCAGGATCACGGCCCTAGGGGACGCATGGCGTGGCACGGTCGTGGATGGAGCTGTCTTGGTATCGGTGTCTTCTGGCTCGGGCCCATGGCAATTACTCGGCAATACAAAGTGCACCATGTTGGGCCAATGCTTGGGCTGGAATTGTCCAATATTGCATTCCCTTTGTCCATCTTACAGGCATCGCGCCTCTCGCAGGTATATAACACAATATGCCGCAACTCCGACGGCTCCAACGAGACAGTCTATACGAACTCGAGGGGCTGCTAGCCCCCCTTTCAAACCCCCCGTCCCCGTCATAACTCGCACATCAGGCATGAACTGTTGTTCGCTGCGGCAGGCCAACATCCAGAATGCGGCCCCCGGGACAAAAAAGGGTTCGCCGCCTGCGCCAAACCAGTGGCCTCTTTTTTTCTTTTAATCATCCCGAGCTTACCTGAACGCCATGTCGTCCAACTTCCATGATCCACTCAATTACACTTGATTCGTTCTGCTTCCTCTATGACGGAACCATTCCTTGCGATTGATGTTGCCCGGGCATGTTCTGCATCTGCATCGGTCTCTGGGCCTGGGCCATGGCGGGGCTGGCGTGATGGCTCGGCGGCCGTTGGCCTTGTCCCACACCCTGCGGTCCTTGCTGACCCTGCGGGCGGGCCGGGGTCTGGAATGCCGGCTCTTTCTTTGGATCGGCATTAGGGAACAGCGCTTGGAGCTTCGTGTACAACTCGGTGAGATATTTGGATCGCTCCTCGCGGTCTGCTACCGGGTCCGGGTTGTTTTCGGGGATGTCACCGGGGGGTGTCGAGTTTCGTATTTTCAGCGTCATGTTCAATGGCGGGGAGGAGAGATACGCAGGAGACGGCGGGACTTGAACGTTGCCCTTCCTGTCGGCTAGGGCTGCCAAGTAGGCGAGGTTCGCTTGGAGACGTCGCATGCAACTGGGAAGACAAAAGTTAGTTATGCTACATGCCTGAAAGACTTCCGCTGTTGACTTACTGGTTGTAATCCTGTTGAACCGCCGACTCTTCTTGGGTCGGTTTTCTTGCTTGTTCTCCTTCGCCCGAAGGGGGCCCTTCTTTCTTCAACTCGCTGAGGGTATGTTGCAGCTGCATCGATTCGAATAGCAGCTCTTGGTTGATTTCCAGCAGCAAGGAGAACCGCTCCTGCTCTCGCGACTCGCTACCAGGGCTGAGAGGTGTGGACAATGACGATGCGCCATTCAGACTCCCGCTATGGTTATGTTGGGGAAACGTAGGAGTCTGAGGAGTTGTGACGGAGGCTGAATGCTGTTGAGTGGCAGTCGCAGGGGTTTGACTGTGAGAATGAGGCTGCGGCGTTGGAAATTGCGACTGTTGTTGCTGAGCCGCCTGCTGTTGATGCTGATGTTGTTGAGCTTGCTGCTGCTGATGCTGCTGCTGCGCTTGCTGCTGCTGCTGCTGCTGCTGCTGTTGTTGTTGTTGGTGCTGCTGCTGTTGCTGCTGCTGCTGATGTTGCTGATGTTGCTGATGTTGCTGCTGAGATTGATGTTGTTGCTGCTGGGGCTGTTGAGACTGAGGTTGTTGCGGCTGCTGTTGTTGGGGCTGTTGCTGTGGCTGGTGGTGCTGCGGCTGCTGTGGGTGTTGCTGCTGAGAATGTTGATGTTGTTGTTGCTGCGGATGTTGCATCGCGTTGTTCGGAGACCCGTGTCCGCCCTGTGCCGCGCTCATCGGCCTTTGGGGAGTCGAGCTCAACGGCATGCCGCCTTGGTTGCCTTGTCCCTGTGCCTGCTGCTGCTGCTGCTGCTGCTGTGCTTGTTGCGCTTGCATACGTTGATGTTGCTGCTGCATCATGATCTGCTGCTGTTGTTGGGGCGTCATGCCCGCGTTCATCGGGAAGCCCTGCATTCCGCCAAAGTTGGGTTGTTGGCCGCCCGGCGTGGGCATGTTGCCGCCGTAGGGGTTGCCCTGGTAGGGGTTTTGGAAGGCCACTGGTGAAGACATTGAGATTAGCAAACGCGTGTTTCCGTGGTTGAGGATTGAGGATTCTGCGGCGTCATATCTGGCGAGTGGCGATGTGGTAAACCCAGGACAGCCGCGTTTCGGTCGCACGATGATCTCTGTTTCGGTCGCTACGGGAAGACACATGCTGCCACGGGCAGCATCAGAGGGCGCAACGCAGACACGAGACTCCGCTGGCCGGCCTGGGGGGCACAGGGAGAAATAGGGCAAGGAAGGGGAGAGCTTACTTTGGCCATTGGCGGCCATGTGCGGCATGCCGGCGTTCTGCATCATGCCTGCAGGACCAGCACCCGACATCATGGCGGGATTGGGTCCGCCGACGAAGCCGGACTGGCCACCGGGCATGCCAGCGAATTGGTTTGGGTTGTACATCATCTGTTGCCCGGGTTGGTTTGGGACTGAGCCTGGCTGCATGTGAGGGTTCTGGTTTGAAGGTGGGGCGCCGGTGTTGAAGTTCGGAGGGACATTGGAGAAGCCGTAGCCGGGAGTGTACATGGCTGGGACGGGAGGGGATATGATGGGCGCGGAGCTGTTATTATTATTATGCTTTTTGTTTGGGGCGGGGGCAGACGCGACGGGTCCAGGGAACAGTTCGAACGGGGGGTCAGAGGGGCCTAGTCGAGAAGAGTAGCAATAGACTCTGGCTTTCAGACTCAGTCAGACACGGGCTGGCTGGCTGGGCTAAGCTGGGCGGAAGTGAGAGAGAGGCGCGGCGGCCGTAGCGGGCACCGTTTCGTCGAGTCGGACGCAACAAGGAAGAGAGCGACGGGCGGCGGGAGGAGTGTGTGGAGTGAGTCGAGGTGGTCCTGAGCCTGTCCGGGCCGCAGGTTGGCTAAGCTGGCGGGATGACTGGCTGGTTTGCTGGTGCTTGACGTGCGTGATGGGCGGTGGGGAGCAGGGGTGCCACCATCAACTGGCTGGGCTGTCTCTCAGATGGACAGAGGCTAGCAGCCAAACTCTTGGCCCAGTGAGGGAGCGATTCGACGTGACGGCGTAAAGGATGTACTTCGTGTTAAGGTACAACCATGCATCCGGTACGAACCCGGTCGTGCCTCTGCTCTCGGGGGTGCCTGGCTGGATAGTACGCCTGGGATAGGCAGGTAGAGCTGGCCTGTTTGTCTCGACCTCGTCCGTACTCGTCGACTGTATGTCTCGCTACGTGGGAGACGACAACAGACCGCACGGGGGTGTGAGATGGTTAAACTGGGGGAGCAAAGGGCTAGGAGATGGGTACGGTGAGGAAGGATAAAGGACTAATGGATGAGAATGACGTGTGGTGGGATGGGGCGCCAGAGTAAGGGTTGCCGGTAAGTGATGAGGCGGAAGGGGTTGTAAGATGCGTTATTGTCGGACGAGATGCCGAGCAAGTAATGGAGGCGCGTCCAGCAAGTGCCACAGGCGCGGGCCGGTGAGACAAGGCTAAGTCAGAGGAGTCAGTGTCAGTCTCTGGCCGGGCTGACACTTGATTCAGGGCCAACGCCGAGCTTGATAAGGCAGGCAGGCCAGGTGCCACGGAGTACCTCGACGAGAGCAAGAGGCGGCGTGGAGTGGAATGGGAGGGCAGGTGGCGGGCGCAAAGATGGCACGGTACGGTACGGTACGGTATGAAGCGAAGCGAAGCGAGCCGGCAGGAAAACCAAAACGAAAAGGCAGAGAGCAACGTTCTGCGTATCCGTGGAGAGGACCTCAGATGCGGCCGCGGTGTGAGTAACGGTGCGCGTGGAGCAACAAGCGGAGAGGGAGAGGCGTGGTATGGTGTGGTGTGGTGCGGTGTGTCGGTGTGTCGGTGTGCGGTGAGTGAGGACTGGAGTGGTCGAGGCGCTTCCAATGTCCCAGTGTGACAGTCCACGTCCGCGTCCAGTAATTATGTGAGCGAGGTAAGGGAACCGCGTGCGTGTGAGAGATTTCGGGGCGTCGGTGTGAGTGTTGTGTTGTGTGTGTGTGTGCGTGTGTGTGTGTGTGTGTCGACCAGGCATTAGGAGGCAGGAGGGAAAGGCAGAAACAGAATTTTTTCTGCATTGCTTTTCCCCTGCGACACTTTGAAAGCTTGAGACGGGGGGGCGTCTGGGTCTGGGGAGGGGCTACGGAGCCTGAGAGAGCGTGGAAACCTTGGTCGACATGGGCAGGATCCAAGGTGGGACCGCGCTCGAGGCTAACAAGGGAAGGACGCCGGCGGTGGAGGCTAATCAAGAGCCGAGGCGTTGTTATCACTGGTCGGGGCCCATGCATGAACACTCTTCCAGATCCCCATCGGGTCTGACAGGGGCCTGCCTGCAAGCCACCCAGGGCCACATCCCATCCCTCCATGTCCTCGACCTCTGCCTGTGAGCCGCGTTTGATGGACAGGAAGACAATCGTCGACCACGTTGATGAGTGGCATCCAATTGGTGATGTTGACAGCTAAGCTTGACCGTGTGTCGCTGCACCTGGCCGTTGCTGATGTCTGGGTAGCCCGCGGCACGACCTTGGCTACTCGTCGTGGCTCAAGCACAACTGCCTGATGCCCACGTTCCCCCTGGTCCTAACACACCAAATTGTCCTGCACGATGCTGGGAAACGAGGTTTGCATGGCAAGGAGTGGCTTCCTGGCTGGAGGCTACGCCGACCCCTACAGTTTCAAGATAAAAAAGTTGCTTGCTGAGCAGGGAGCCCTAGTAGCAAGCCTCCGATTGCTAGACGATTAGACATGAGTGGCCAATGTCTGCTGGAATGGCTGAAGCCTCTTTAAATTTAACATGCCTCAATCATCCTAAATCATACCTCTGTAATCAATGAGGTGCTCTGAAGCTGAACTTCGTCCCAGATTTTCCTCACTTAATACGACACCTCCAAGGCCTTTTGCACTTCTATTTAGCACCAGACCTCCGGATGCTGTGTCTCATGAGGACGCATAAGTCGTGCCGTACGTCGAGTTGCCGTACACCACATCGATAAAGTGCTGTGCCACAATCTCATCTGTAAAAGAACACCAGTCAGCCCGACAGTCACAAAAAGAATAAGGGCCAACGTGAGCACTTACCTGTACGCTCGGAAGGGTGCAAATCGTCGTACCAAAGGAAGCTCGACTTTGGCTGTGACGAGTCTACACACGCACTCGTCACCGGGTTGCATACACGGTAGGGCCCCGTCACGTTCGGCGGCGAGGACAGATACTTTGACGGCTCAGCGTGGATGTCACGCAGCAGACCGTGGACGTCGAAGATGGAGAAGCTCGCGCCGGGCCAGCGCTTCTTGACCAGCAGGTGGAAGGGCACGCCGTAGTCGAACATGGTGTTGACGCTAGTGCTGTACTCGAGCATCTTATACTGGTATTCGGTCGTGTTGTAGCTCGTCTTGTTAGGCCAGAACTGGCTGTCCCCGCTGCCGCCAAGCTCCGTGGCGGCGTAGAGCGGCGACTGCTCCAAAGGCGCTATGTTGAGGAGAACGAAGTGCCGCCCGCCCGTCGCGTAGATGTTGTCAAACACCTCCCAGATGCAGTCCACATAGGTTGAGATGGTCGTCCCGGGCGCATTGGAGTCGGTTAGGAAAGCACCGTATCCCAGGTCGTTCGTACCGATCCAGAGTGCGTAGACCGTATTGTTGGCCGCCCTGTTCGGGTAGAGCGCCTCGAAAGCTGTATCAGCCTTGTAAGCCGGGATCTCGTAGTCCAGGACCGACGGGAACGGTTGGTGGATGGCGGCGTAGTTGCGAGAGATAATCTTGTTTGAGCAAGTGGCACCGCTGACGGCGTAATCGTAGTACTTGGCACCGGTCGAGTTGGCGACGAACCGGCCCCAGGCGTATCCGCCGCTCGCGGTGGAGTTGCTTGGCGGCAGAAGGATGCCCGGGGGCGGGGCAGAGCCGTTGTTGTTGATGAAGTAGGCGAGCCGACTTTCGTCAGTGTAGCTGTCGCCGAACGTAACCAAGTTCTCGAGCTTCTTGAGGCCGCATTGGGAGGCCGCTGCCACCGAGGCCAAGGCTACAATTGGTAGGAACAGCATCGCGAGGACAGGAGGTGCGGGTAGAAACCGGTCACAAAGTAGCATCTTTGAAAGCGCCTAGGAGAGCAGCCGGAAACGGAAGAGGTAGCCACCAGATTACCATAGACTTTGGCAGGGAGATCGCCCTCATATAAGCGATTCCCAGGTCCTCAAGTCCAGTGTCATGTCGTTCAACTAGCCCTTTCGTCCGGGACATCAAAATTGCGGGGGCGGGGAAGAACTTCTGGTGATGGCGGGCCTAGAATGGCCGCCTATGAGACGGGCCCGATCATGAAAAGAGCCAGCCAGTCATCTCCGCGTATGGAGAGGGTGGTGACGAACTGTAACATGCAGACTCCGGGCAGGAAGGTGCTTGTTCCTGTGGGTTCCCCAGATCTCTCTCGACCAGGGGTATGAGGTGGTTGAATGAGGGGTAAATTGGGGAAGAGCTTGGAACGCTTTCTTCTGGGCTCCATTATCGTCACATCGACCAGGACTAGCTCCGCTCCGTTGAGCTGCCGGCGCAAGAGCGATAGCCGGCAGATTGATAACCTCGGGGCATTTGGGGACGGTTGGAAAGTTGTGGCTCGTCCCGTTGTGCGGGGTTCTATGGATAAAGACTACTGACGTACGGCCCCGGCTAGTCTGATCCCATTGAAAAGCTCGCAGGAAAGCTTGCTTAGACTATTACGCACCATTAGTGAGTTGATGTGAATGTAATCAGGCTGAATTGAATTGAGTCCATTTGATCCGCAACCCGGGTCAACCGGCAACAGTCCGGTGGCAAAGCGACGACATAGCATCTAACGGCCGAATTCAAGAAGACGCTGTTCCCCAGTGAGCTGTTTGGTGTCGCGGCAAGTAGCTTCCAACTCATGTTTCAGTGGAAAGAGAGACATGAAGCAAAGACGATTGATCGAACCCGAGAAAAGTCACATGTGCTGGTAGGCCTTGTAGAAGCACAGCGCAGTGCCCTGCTTGAAGTTGTCGAAATCAAGTTGCCTCCTCGCGGGACTAGAAGACTAGGCGACTTTGATGAGTCAGTAGACGCCAATCGACGGCCACGTGCGTAGTGACTGACGAAAGAAATGGCAGCCGAGTGCTTATGGTTGTTCGCAACTAAAACAGTTGCGAATTGTGTGCATCTAGTGAGATATTGCCTTGAACAATGACCCAAGAAGACGTTGCGGTCTAATCGTCAAGCCGACAACGGCGTGTCTCGGCTTCATCCGTTCACACCACGCAACGATGGCATTGAGCCGATGCCGAGCGCAACGGCGTCCGGAGCTGCCACTTTCGAGCCGGGCTACGAACGGGGCAAGTTCAGGATTTGTACCACAGCGCGTACAAAGCTAGCCCAATCGATCTTGCTACCTGTGAAAATCCCAAAGGTCAAATTTTCAGAGTGGGGGTTGGCCGTCGTTCAGAGGATATCATTGGCCAATGGCCAGCACCATTGTCCCACTTTGTTCCGGACAGGTGCCGATGTATGCCTCCGGGGTCGGCAGACCCAGATCCTGAATTGACGGGAGATCCATTTTGCATGGCCCATAGTTGTTGACTCAAACCGACGTCTACGATTGTACTCAAGTGAGATATTGATATAAGAAGACTGTCCGACTCATAATAAAGCCGGTATCTCATTATCAAACTTGAGCACAACAAATCAAAATGTCACCCTTCAACCTTGAAAAATGTGCGCGCCCGAACATATTGGCCCTTGAGCCTTATCGTTGCGCGAGAGAGTAAGTTCAGACTCCCAAAAGTATGACACCCTCGTCTCATAGGCGGGATGCTAACACGTCTCTTGCAGCGACTATAAGGATGACGGAACCAACGTCCTCCTTGACGCCAATGAAAACGCCTTCGGCCCGTCCCTGCAACCCAACTTCGAGGCCGGCAACCTAGGCATCGACTTCCTTGGCCTGAACCGGTACCCCGACCCGCACCAGCCAGAGCTCAAGCAGCTGCTCTGCGACCTGCGCAACACTCACACCCACACGACCAAGGACCTGAAGCCCGAGAACCTCTTCGTCGGCGTCGGCAGCGACGAGGCCATTGACGCCTTGCTGCGGTGCTTCTGCGCCCCGGGTAAGGACCGCATCCTCACCTGCCCGCCGACCTACGGCATGTACTCCGTCTCGGCGCAGATTAACGATGTGAGCATCGTCAAGGTGCCGCTGAAGCCCGCGCCCGGGTTCGGCATGGACACTGACGCCATCCTCGACACGCTAAGCAGGGAGGGCGACAGCATCAAGCTCGTCTACCTCTGCACGCCGGGCAACCCTACTGGCTCGGTGCTGGCCAAGGAGGACGTCCAGAAGGTCCTTGAGCACCCGACATGGAACGGCGTCGTGGTCCTCGACGAGGCCTACATCGACTTCGCGCCCGAGGGCAGCTCGATGGCCGAATGGGTACTCGAGTGGCCCAACCTCGTCGTGATGCAGACCCTCTCCAAGGCCTTTGGCATGGCGGGCATCCGCCTCGGAGCGGCCTTCACTTCGCCGCCCATCGCGCGCCTCCTGAACGCCATGAAGGCACCGTACAACATCTCCACGCCAACGAGCACGCTCGCACAATACGCAGTGTCTGAGAAGGGGCTTGCCGTCATGCGCGCCAACCGGGCCAAAATTCTGACGCAGCGAGACCGCATCATCGCCGAGCTGCCCAAGATCCCCGGCGTCGGCAGGCTGCGGGGAGGCAAGGAGAGCAACTTCCTGCTGTACGAGATGCTGGACGCTGCCGGAAATCCGGACAACGTCACGGCGCTGGCTGTGTACGAGCGGCTGGCGGAGAACAAGGGGGTTGTTGTGCGGTTCCGCGGCAAGGAGCACGGCTGCCTGGGATGTTTGAGAATCACAGTTGGCACTGAGGAAGAGGTCACGCGGTTCCTGGCATCGATCGAGAAGGTCTTGGGTGAAGTCCGCGGCGCTGGGCGGCAGCCGGACGAGGAGAGGAAGGAGGCGGCAGCAAGTGGCGTGGTTGCATAGATGATGCCGGATGACTTATGCATAAACGATAGAACAATAGAAGACACGTCAGAGACACGTTTGAATACCACTCAGCTAGGTACGTCAACTTGCCCGGGTGAATATGCCATGCAATATGGACCGATATGTCACGACCCTGTTATATCGGGTCATGCGCAGATGATCTCAACATCCCCTCCTGGCTCGTTTGGAGAGAATCCAAGCTCGCCATTTGGCCATCGCTGGAAGTTTCGAAATGGCCTCTTGTGTAGAATAGGCTACGGGCTTTTGGCTGACCACACTCTGTAACGATGCGATGTTTCGAGGAGGCTACTGTCCTCTTCATCATGGAAAAGGTAGGGCAGTATATCAATCACATTGAGGATGGCTCTTTACATTTCGGCAAGTTTGCATATACCTGGCATCACCTATGCCGTACCGTTGAGCCACTTTGGTTTCCAAATCTCTCTTCGCCGACAAAGTCATGTGGAAGGGGAAGCACCTTGCACCTTCATCCAACTCCAACCAGTCCCCCCATCCACGTGGTTGGTGAGACCTGGCTCTCAGCACGACGCTACCAAGTCTCCTTCCCCTATGCCCCTTTACTGCACAGTACAACTATACGGATACCAGGCGCCTATTGAGCAAAAACAAAAGGCCCGCAACGCAATGCCAGTAAAGTCGGGGTTGCAAAGGTCCCCAGTGTCCCCCATTAGGAATAGGGCTAAAATTGGGTGCGTCCTTGTTTCATGTGTCGAGTGCAAGGTAACGGTAACCCGAGCTAGCGGTTCTCAAGTAGATCATCTCACCCCCGAAGAACAAGCGCCTAATGAGTGGTTCCTCTTCAACACAGTAGTGTACCTGGATGTGCCGGTTGACCGACAACGGTGTTTGCCTGGCACAGTTTGTTAGTCAACCAGTCCATCGCCATCCAACCATCCCATGTTCTCTCTGCTTAACTCTTCCACGCCGCGCAGCAGTGTTCATCCTAGGTCCAGTCCCGCCTTGACACCTCTTCCGCTTTCCTGGTCTGCATCCCCCTTTGCGGCGGCCCTAGCCCCGTTGGTTCCCCTTTCTACCATCTGGGGGCCGTGCCGATCAGCCCCAGCGCGCGTGTATGCCTGACTAACGCAGCCGCCGCCGTTTCCTTCTCCCACCAACCGCCCCCTGCTTTCCCCTCCTATAGGCACATGGGTTCAGAGCCATTCAAACGCCCGACTTCCCTGTCCGACCGTCCTGGCTCAGGGATGGAGAGGGGGTCTGATGAACCACACAAGGACCTCCCGAGAAGCTTGTAGGCTTTCAGAGTCTGAAAGAGACGAGCAATGAGGGCTGAGTCGACGGCAATCCCGCCCATTCGCTGGCGGGGGCCGCCTGCTTTCCTTCTTGGTGCACCGACACCCCGGCGTACGGGAGTCCGGATGCATGTGCGACCTCACAAACCCGCCGGATCCCATGATTGCAAAGTCCTTGCCACTTGATATAGGCGCGCCTCAGCTGCTTTTATTGGGGGGCTGCCCCTACCAAACAAACTTCTGCCATCATGGGTTGCTGCTGCCCCTTGGTCCTCTCTCCCCAACATCCCTCGTGAACGGTGTTTCGCTGCCACGGCTCTCACTTTCGTTACTTCGACGCGTTTTCTCGCCCGTGTCCTTCATTAACCTGTCGTTCATTAACTGGAAAGTTCGTTTCCAAAGTACACTTGAGGAAAGCGTATTCCTTTACACGTTCTCTTGTGAACAGCTTCGCCTCCGACCCGCCAGAACCGCACAGTCGTATCGCAAGGCAGCCTCTCACGATGGTGTTCGTCAAGTCTGCTCTTGTTGCTTCCGTAGCGGCCGCTGGGGTGTCTGCCTTCACTGCGCCCAACACACTTGATGTGGCCAATCCAGGTTAGTATAGATGGACTTGAAGACGTTGCACGCGCATGATACTAATTCTTTCTAGATTCTGTCAAGGCAGTTGCTAGCAGTCTTGCTTTTGGTGCCATGTCATATTATAACGGCAATGTTTCCAGTGATCCAAAGGTAGGTGGTAATGAGTCCAGCAAAATATGACTAGAATCCTGGGAGAACCAGACAAGTGAGGGGCTAACACATGTCTAGATGGTTGGTGACTTGCCAGATCCATACTACTGGTGGGAAGCCGGTGCCCTCTGGGGTGTCATGATGGATTACTTCCACTATACCGGCGACGCAACTTACAATGACGTGGTCACGCAGGCCCTTACAGCCACCGTCAACACCGGCCCGAACTTTGACTTCGTGCCGCCGGAACACGCGTCCGAGGAGGGCAACGACGACCTCGGCTTCTGGGGCTTCGCCGTTATGGCCGCTGCGGAACGAGACTTCCCCCAGACCAACAGCAGCGTGCCCTCCTGGCTCACGATGGGCCAAAACATTTTCAACTCGCTTGCCACACGCTGGAACTCGACGCACTGCGGCGGCGGCCTGCTGTGGCAGATCTACGAAAGCAACCCCAATGGCCTCAACTACAAGAACTCCGTCAGCAACGGCGGCTTCTTCCAGCTCGGCGCGAGGCTGGCCGCCGCCACGGGCGACGCGACGTACGTCGCCTGGGCCAACCTCATCTGGGACTGGTCCGTCAACGTGGGCTTTATCGACAGCAACCTCAAAGTTTACGACGGCGCCGACTCCCGCGACAACTGTAGCAAGACGAACTATCTATCCTTTACCTACTCCACCGGCATCTACCTCTACGGCGCCGCGGTCATGGCCAACCACACCGGGGAAGAGGTCTGGAAGGAGCGTACCAAGAAGATGTTGGAGACTTCGCGGTCGAGCTTCTTCTCCCTCGCTGAGAACAGCACAAACATCATGTACGAGCCCGCTTGCGAGACGGTCAACACGTGCAACACGGATATGAAGTCGTTCAAGGGGTACCTGTCCCGTTTCCTCTGGAAGTCGGCCATCGTCATGCCCGAGCTCCTCCCCCAGGTCAAGGAGATCCTGGTGCCGTCCGCTCTTGCCGCGGCCAAGGTTTGCGAGGCCACCGCGACGAATGTGACGTGCGGTCAGAAGTGGTATGTGGGCGGGAACGACGGCAGCCTAGGCCTCGGCCAGACCATGAGCGCCCTCGAGATCATCCAGGGTCTCGTTGTCAGTCAGTAGTAGGTATTGGCTTTGTCCGTCCCTCCAAACCTCACGGCAGCCGAACTGTCCGGCGTTTGTCGCCCCTTTCTTGCGTCTTGCTGTTGTTGCACATGAAGAACAATATGGACGCTTCTCGTCCCATCGATGGCGGTTACAACCAGCCGGCCGTGTACCGACGGTTCGCGGAAACGAAACGAGACTAACAGCGGCGTTAGCCCCAAGGTCAACACATCAGCGCCTGTGGATAACTCAACGGCCACAAACCCACAGGACAACTCAACAGTCACAGATCCACAGGGTAACGGCGCCATTCACGTCGGTTGGATAGAGGCAAGCACCTCTGGTGCGGTTTTGCTGGTTTGGATACTTGGGTTGTTTTGACCGAGGACGCGTCGCTGAGACGAATTGCAAGGGGCATCAGAGAAAAAGATTAAATAAGTAAAAAAATCATAACGTTCATGAACTCCCCTTCAATACGCGGCGAGCCTTATGCAGCAGAGAATCGGACCAAGCCCTGGTTCCACCACGGACCTAGACCTCATCGAGGATGGCCTATGCGGTACATCGCGGCACAGCGGCCTTGGTGACCCCTTTTTGATATACACTTACTCATATTCACAGTCTGCTCCTCGACCAAGGGAAAACAAAGGAGGCAGAAACGCGTCGTGGATGCTGTGCAATATTGGACAGGGGAAAGGCGGCTGCCACATCTCTGTCCTGTTTGATGTATATTTGGTTTAACCGTCAATGTAACTCTTGATCGCAAACTGTACAACGCCGATACGGGGTATAACTCCAAAATGGGAGCACATCGTGAGAAACAACAAAGCTCTGAAACGGCGCGACTTGCGCCAACGGAAAGTCGTGGATGGGGAAAAAGATAACAGGCCTTGCCAAGAATCCGCCATATGCACCCTCTTGAAGACGAGGGCAAAACTCCAGTAATGTGTGACCTCCTATCCGCCGTTATTCCATCCGGGATTTCCCATCTTTTCTTGTTATGCTTCGTGTGCTGCCTTTCCATGAAAAAGACCATTTTGCGCTCCCTTTCCTTCTCCTCTTTCACTAGTTGAGTACCTCGGTTATTTCAGGGGTGTCGGAATATGCCTGGTCGCGCGACATCGTGTGCGTCACAGGTGCGTAGGATTCTGTTCTCATGTCATCAAAGTGACGGCAGCCATGCTACATAATGATGCGGCAAGAGCCCAGCCGAAACCGAGACGTGAGGCGGCGCTAGGATTGGTCTCGGCGGGTAGTGAGGAGGAAATGGTGTCCGTGTAGAGGAAGTCGTCGAAGTCCGGGTCGTCGGTCGCGGTGGTCGGCGCTGGAGTCGCCGCAGCACCCTCCTCAGCCAGTGTCAGGACACCCCATTGTACCTCCGAGCCGGTCATGGTCGAGGTCCACGATACTTCGGTCGGGCCCGTTAATTTGCCGTTAATGTATCCGCTCCTCAGGCTTGAGTAACCCGAGCATGTCGCAGCTGTCGTTCCGCTAAGTGTGCATCCCAGGTCGGCGATGCTGTTCCCAGTCACATGGCGGTTAGTTAAGAGTGCTTCTCGGAGGTAGCATCGAGGCGCGTGCAAGTAAGTGAACTTACAGCGTTGACGTTTTGGTGCCATGAAACTGCAGCGTGTTCTCGCCTTCAGCAAAGACGAAGGGAAACTCGACAGCGAGGTCGCAGTTAGGCGGGGTTTGCGGTGCGCAGAAGATGGTGTACGTCGTTTCTTTAGCATTCTGTAGTAAGGCCATTGTCAGATCACAGCGACAGCACCGAGGAAGGAGGGCCTGGGCAGCTCCAGAGGCCATCGTACACTTGAGATTACACTGCCCCGCAGCTGCGACCAGCTCTTAGCATCGTAGTGCGGCAGGTAGATCGGAACAGTAGTGGTGTCGTCGGCGCGGACGACATTTGAAGAGAACAGGCAGAGCGACAACACGGCCAGCAGAGGCTGTGGGCAGTGCATCGTGAGGGTGCGAGGACGGTGCCGAACGTGGGCCGGCGGGGAATCGAGGGAAAGCGGAGGGTGCAACAATGCTTGATGTCGAGTACTAGCTACCGGAGGTCGTTCATCGGGCGGCGGGCTTCCGGAGTGGACAAGACGAAGTAAGGCAATACAGCGAACCAGCCTGGCGGTACGGAAGCTGGAGCTGGACGGAAATGGCAACAGTCCGTCGGGATCACGATTAGAGTGGAAGAACAAGCCGGAGGAAAGGCGGTTGGTCGTATCTCGCGGCGCAGGTGGGTTCGGCGTATCTGGTGGCGGTAGTGATGAGAGACCCTTGTTGTCGCATGGGACAAGACCTAACGAGCCGTTCCACAGGTGCAACGAAAGCGAAACAGCAAGCTCCTGTAGGGTTACGGGGTTCGGGCAGAGCTGTCGGCAACGGTCAACCAGGGCGAGCGTCGTGGCTGCTGCTGGGTGCGGAGGGATCTCGTTTCCTTAAAAGAGGAAAACGGGCATGGGGCCAAGAGAATCGAGGAAGGATTCCGGGGAGCGGGTTCTTGGTGACAAGGCGGCGGAAACGCGACCGAGACGGGGAGTGACTTCAGGTGAGCAGCGATAATCAGAGACCAAGAGTATGAGAGAGAGGGAGAGAAAGGGCGCGCTCTACAACGTTTGCCAATGCGCCGTCCTTGCCGGCCAAGGCTGGGCAGGAGAGAAAGATGAGCAGCCAGTGTGCATTCTTTTTGGCAAAATGGGAGCCAAGACTTTTGGGAAAGGCTCAGCAGAGGGGAGGGTCATAGGTCGCCCCAAGGTCTCCACGCCAGACGAGAGTGCCATAGTGCACACAGGTGGCTTGGCACTTGACTATCTCCTGTGTCGGCGTTGGCACGGCTGACTGGTCAGGGAAAGGACTCGGCAGCGACACCCTTTGCGTAGTAGCAGCAAGCCTCCAGGTAATTCAATGCGCGCAAAGGGACCAACTGATGCTGATGCTGGCACTGGCACTGGCACTGGTCGGCAGCGGTGGCTTCCGCCCCCCCCCTCATCCCTTCTGTCTTTCCACCGCGGCGGTCGGCCGATGGCGGGTGCGTACTGAGGGTGTAGACATGATTGTGTGTGCTGGGCGGACAGGTGGGCGGGCTGGCGGCGAGTGGGAAACGAATTGGCTGAGTGAGAAACAAACGATGAGAGGATGGAAGGGAAGGAAGCCAAGAAATGCCAAGACCGCGAAATTCGAGAAAATATGATGAACGGGGTGGGCACGGACGCCCGAAATGGGGGGCTCGGGGAACCAGAGGCACCTGACTGGACGGAAATCGCCAGCAAGCAGGAACCGGCAGGGGTATGACAATGCCAAACCACCTAGGGTATCCCTTCGGCCCCCGCCCCGCTGCGCTTTCCCTTCCCAACTCGGGCAACTGCTTGGGAAACTCTGCAACGCTTAGGAATCTCGTCATTGTAAGATTGACACCACCAGCACCTTCCCTTCCCATCTAGACCATCCGTCCTTGACGAGAACCTCGGGAACCTCCAGCACACAACCGCCACGCAACAAACTCCCGCTCCAAGTCTTTCGGAAATACCATTGCGCATCGGAGGGGAGAAATCCCGTCGCCTACATCTTCCCCGGCTCGTCTTTCTGTATCCCTTCTCTTCATCCCTCATCTGAAAATCGGGCATCCGAACAAGGTCGCAACGTGGACGACGAGACGCCTTCAGTTGACCCCAGTGGGATCCTATCCCGTCCGCTTTCTGCCCTTTGATAGGCTCCGGCAATGATTGTCGGGGTCCTCTTTCCGCTCGCTGCACCGACGGAACCGAGGAAACCATTGTCCATGGGATCCAATGGTACTACCTAAACGATCCATGCAGCAGCGCAAGACGCGGTAGCGTAGTGTAGTGTACATGTCAATCCCTCCCTGCTGCAGCCGGAGGAAGTGCAGGAGCCATGGAAAAGCCGATCATTGCCTCGCCACGTTAAACCTACCAGCCATATCGGTTATCATGTCTCCGTCACATCCATCCCATGTTATCAACTACCGACGCTGGCATTGCTCTGTCACCAATGCACAGTTCGCGGTTCTCGTCCGTGTCTCTCATCGTCCCGTCATCTCCAGCCCCCAGGGACCGTTTGTGGATAATCATCCTCTGATCTCTTCCGCTCCGCCCGGAGCATCATGCAACCAGCGCGCCTCTCCGTCTCACCGTAGTTGCCTTGGCGAAGCTGGGCCTACGGCATTCGAATGACAACCGCTCTGCCGAGATGTGACGACGAGAATTAACAAGCCCGTAGTGTCACCAGCTCTGCATTTGCCATGGCAAAAGAAAAGACAAGGAGGCTGCCCTCGTTTGCTACTTTATTCGACGTCGTGAAAAGAAGCCTGACAACCATCTTTCGCTGCCAGAGTTACGAGGCACCGAGGCAGCCTCTCGCTCCGGAGTTTCTAAGACGATCGGCGTTGGGCCGCCCGTTTGGACAACAAAAGAAAGCTCAATCGCTTGCCAAGTGCTTGGTTATAGAAGCCCAGAAACACCGTCTATCCTGCATGCTTGACAATTTGTTGGAGCTATCTGTCAGGCGATGCCCCTTTCTCGTGCCTAGCAAACCCGACGCCGTCCCGAGAAAACCAAGACCTCATGTCAAAAGCCGTATGCAACAACCTACGAATGCCATGTCGAGCATCGAAGAATCGAGATGCGCTTCGGAGATCGGTATCCACCCTCCGGTCCTGTTAACCATGGCGTCCGGGCGTAAAATCAAACTCATCCCCATGCTACACAATCGAGATGCCATTCACGCATCCGTCCTCCTTGCTGCTTGATCATACGAAGAGAAAATATAAGTCAATATCTGCCCCGGAAAAGAGTCTCTCGCAGTAAATTGTACCTCTGCCAGTGTTTTCTCGTCCACCAATCAGAATGGCCTAGCATATTCAAAATAAGCTTAACTTCCGCTGGATCTAGGCCTTGGTCAACAACTTCAACAGCCTTATGAACATGTATCCAAGCCACCACAAAACAGAACTGTCACCGTAGAACATGCTGAAGCGACGGCCACCCTCACCTTGCTCCTATGGCGAGCACGCGAAATAAGACGCACCTGTTTAGTAGGAGGCCGTTTCTCACGTACATGGTAAATGGAACATTGGCCGAGGCAACGTGTGGGATCCAATCGGAAATTTACCGACTTATGGCAGCCTAGAGCCAACGGTGCAGGCTTGCGTTTCGCTTCCAAAGCAAAGGGGACGACACGAGCGCTTGGCCACAAGCGGCATGGACTCTTTTGGGCCCCGTATGCAAGACTGCGGCACAGCGGCATCCAAAGGAAATGATCTTTGACAAAGCGTAAGCCTATATCTAATTGCGAACCCCCGTGGATGGTCGCGAGAGAAGTTCCATTTTATTTACATTTACAAGGCGGGCGAATTGGGCATGTTTTACCATGAAGAGCTTCTCAAAGGTCCTCTTGGCTCTGTTGGGCAGCGCCGCGGCACAGACCACGACGGTGATTGAGGTCGTAAACCCCTTTTTCGGGAACAACCCTTATGACGCTTCTGTTGTGAATGTCAACCCTACCGCGACGACTTATGCCGTATACTGCCAAACGAACAGCACCAACTACCAATGCCGGAATGACCCCGCTGGCCTGGTCCTCACACTCGTGGGCGGCCCCTCGACCGTCGAGGTCCACGTCGAACGACCCAAAAGCGAACTGTATGATCTAGCCCATGGCGAGCTGTGCCTCATGGGTAGCGTCTTAATGGCTCGAGGGACGTGAATGGATGACTGACTGGCCGCGCTCTGTAGCTCGACCGCGTACATCGGCACCATCTCGGGTGACCAGCTGGATTACCACGTGGTCGCCACCCAGAGTGGACAGACTATCAAGATGGCCGACATGGTCTTGTCGCCCGTGACGAACTCGGATGCCCGCGTGCCCCTCACCATCACCGCCGGCATCGAGAAGCTGCAGGCCCAGGCCACCGCGGCCGCGACGACGACGACGACGACAGAGTCCAGCGGCGCGCAAACCGGCCCATCTGCCACAGGCACGCAGGCTTCCCCAACGTCCACGCCGAACGCCGCGGTGTCGCGGGCCGGTCAGGATGCTCTCTTGGCTGGACTCGCCGGCGCCGCTGCTGTGGCGGCAGTCATGCTGATCTAAAGCGCCAGAGAGACACCTTTGTGACTGAGCCGTCAGCGTGTGAAAGAAGAGGTGTTGTGGGGTTATGCAACAAGCTCGATTGTCCGCCGCGTAGGCTAGTATCTGCCGCTGCGTCTGAAAGACGTTTCTGCTCGCCCGCCAATCAAGGGCTCGTTGTTTTTTTTGTTTTTTGTCCTTTTGGGTCTTGTTTAGCATGTTCAAGGCTTTTGTTTGCCGAACAGCTAGAAAGTCACTCGTCTTCATGCCAAACGACGAGCGGCAAGACTCACGTAGCTGACAGTCACGGATGGAGCATAAATACCAGCATGATGGCAAATCATCAACAACCGGCTCCCACACTCCAACTCCAGCGCGCGCTTCTGGATATTTATCTGTGCACACCAACAGCCATCTCTTGATCCGAATCCAGCCAGAAAAATCCGTAAACACTGCGAAACCTTGTCTTTTCCCTCCTAACGATTCCAGCTACACCACATTCTCCCCAGTCGTATACGACATGGAGCTCAGCGAGCAGGTAGGCATCGCTCTCGGCTGCCTGGGCGGCGTGTTTCTTATTTGCTGTACGGCGTGGATAGTGTTCCGCCACATCATGTCGCCGCGCGCCCAGCAGGAGTACTTCCAGCGCAACGGCGGGATTCCCGCGGAGACGATGCCTGGCGTCTAAGGGCCAGCAAAGGTTTGACGTGGGATGAGAGAGCGACTCGAGTGGACTTGGGTTGGGACCCGGCTTTACTAGAAAGCCATTGGTTGCCGGATGATTTGATCGATAGCGGTTGATGGTGTTGGCTCTATATCATTCATTGGCATGCATATTACCTTGCTTGATGAGTGACGTTCCGTCGGCAAAGCATGGTAATTCTTACTCAATACAACCCCGTGTCTCAAATGATGCTTCAAATAACAATGCCAACAAACGCTCTTATACCCTCCCTAACTTCATGCCTGCAATGCCGAAACAATGGGTTTAGACGCGACTGCAAAACTAAACACCGTCCAATTCTTTCCGCTTCATCTCAGAAGTGACCCAAGCAGACTTCTCGCATGCTTGGACAAATGAAAGCCCTGGAATCAGTGAACCCGGTCCTCGCGGCCATCCTGCCAGCTGGTGCAGTTGACACAACGTTGCGCCTGTAGAGGCGAATCAGCCCTCGCTCTCTCATATACTTTGGGTCCGAATACGAGCATGGAATCCCGGGTGCAATATTTCGGACTCACCTTACTGCTAATCCGCTTGCGGCAGTACTTGCACTTAACGGTATGCTTAATAATTGGCTCTGGGGAGAAGAACTGAAAGACATGGGCCAGGCCGTAGAGGGAGACTCCAATGCAGAGGAAGGAGACGAGCTGGTTGAGAAAAGAGCTGTGGTCATGTGTTAGTCACGTCGTCGATCTTTTCATCGGTGTGTCATAGTTATAGAAAGAAATTCCAAGGGAAGCAGATGAAAAACCTACCCATAGGCCAGGACGACAGCGCCGTCATCCTTGGCGCGCTCGAGGGTTGTGTACGTGTTGTTGTGGGCGTAGTTGGGTCCGCCCCGAAGGACGGCGAACTTCTGCTCCATGTTGCGGTTGAGCGGGAGGATGACGGAGATGGGGGGCATGATGATGTTCTGCACGAAGCTGTTTACGAGGGTCGTGAAGGCGGCGGCGATGCTGCGGGGGGTCAGGTCAGTGAGCTCTCGGCGAAACGTGTGTCAACTGTGCCCCCAGAGATTATGAGAGACGTATAATCCAAACTCGGGGATCAGAAGTATTGCAAAGCCCTCGATACGTACACAGGATGCAGTAAGCTCAAGCAAAGTTGGAGGGGGGATACTCACATCAACCCAAAGGCTATCTCGAGGATGTTGCCCTGCAGAGCAAAATCAATGAATCCGTCCCAGAAGCGGCGTGCCTTCTCCCGGCCACGCCCGAGAAGCGACTCGGCCTCGCCAGCGTCGCTATTGCCTCGCATGTTGGCCGCCGAGGAGATGCGGTCTGCGAACGGAAGGGAGGGCATGTTAGATGTTGCTTCTCCGACTAGGATCTCGAACGAAGAAGAGAAGAGGAGAAGATCAGACGAACGGGATGCTAGACGACGAAACAGCTGGTCAGGACCAAAGGAGTGTGAGTTTGCCAATGTGTTGGAGGTTGTAAGGGGTGAGAGCAGTTGGGCCGAGCAAGATGTAGTTGAGGAGTGGAGCAACCGGAAGGACCAAGGTTGGGCTCGGTCGGAGGTTGAGGCTGGGCGGTGGCTGCCTGTTTAGGGAGGAATGACGTACCCCACATTCCGGGGTGCAGGATGCCGGCGCCGGCAGGCGGGTCCCGGGGTTCCTTGCGGAGCTTCTGTCGGTGGGATATGAAGGAACTCGGCAGGCTCATCGCTTACAGGTCAAAGGCATCGATGAGTATACAAGCCATTAGATGGATGAGTGTAGCGTGTTCACAAAGCTTCAGTCCGTTTGGCATGGGTTAATGAGCGATGAAGATGACAGGGGTGCTATCCCTCGGTAGCATCACTTGTTTGATTTAATTCTGAACATTCTACACACTAAAACGGTACATTCTATGACTTTGTGTGTCGCAACAATGGTATCTTGACAAAAAGGAAAAAGGTTTGGGGTGCCGGAAATGGCCGTGGTATGCCAGCTATCAGGCCAGACCCGACAAAGGTATCGTTGCAAAAAACAAAATCGCTTTCGTGTCGTGGTTTCTCAATCTGGAGTGAATCAAAACGCACTAGTTTGTTGTTTTACGGTGTGCTATCCAGAGATGAGATAGATCATCCCTTAGAAGCTGCCTTTTTGGTGACGCTTCTCGCTGAAACCCCGCCTGCGCGTCGACCGCCTCTCGACGCAGAACTGAGTAACCCAGTAGACGGCCGCCGCGAACATGACAGCGAAGGCGACCCACGAGATGATCATGAACTTCTGTCCGGCCTCCGCCGAGATGCCAATATCCTCGCCAATGTCTGTGATCTGCTTCGCGCCCTCCTTGGCGCCGATGGTTGTGATGAGACTGCCCGCAAAGAGGACGATGGCGGCAAGGATAGCGAAGACGAAGTTGCTCAGCGTCATGCGTTTCTTGAAGCCGAGGAAGAAGGCCGCCAGTGACCCGAGGATGGCGAGGCCGGAGAAGGCAATGGCCAGGACGTAGAGGACCCAGATGGCGAGGAGGAACTTGTTGACCTTGTCCATGGTGTCCTCGATGCTATCGGGCCAGTTGAGGTCGGCGAGGCTCAGGCGCAGGGGCCCGACTGAGAGTTCCTGGTCCAGCATCTTGGTGAGGTTCACGTTGGCTGTTCAAGGGTTAGCACTGCGTCACACGGATTAGGTACGTGTCGGTACTTACGACCAGGAGACGGCTGGGTGCAGTTCGTGACATTGAGCCAGACGTTGGGTGCCGTCACATTGGGGGCAAAGCCACCCTGGCAAACGTCCATCAAGTGCAGAGAGTACCACTCAGAGACACCCAGCTCGTCTGCGAGACGGTCGGCCACGTCATTGCCGATGTCGTTGAGAATATCAGATACGCGATCGCCGACGCCGTCGATGAATCTGTCGAGAAAGCCGTCTGTTGTCGAGGCCGGGTCGGCCTCCTCAGTTGCGGTGGCTATCAGGTTGTGGCCCAGGGTCGACATGTTGAGGCGGACGACGTCGTAGTCCTCCATGAAGCCCTCCTTGTGGCCGGCGAAGAGAGCCAGGAAGGACAGGACGAAAGCCGCTATGGACAGCACCAACGGTACTATCACGGTGAAATGCATGTTGCCGGTGCTGGGGTGTACGGCTATAGTTGGACAAATAGAAAGATGGTTGGATGATGGAGATGTTGTCGGGTAGACAAGCGGGCGCACAGCAGAGTATGTTACCTCAGACCCGCGATGGTGAAGGGTATTTAGTAGGTTCTGTTTGTTAATTGGTGAGGCAATGACTGGGAACAGGAGTTTCCAGAGTCAGGATCAAATGCGAGGCAGCAAAGGTTCCTGCCCTTAAAGAGGGAGAGCAGGTAGCCTGAAAGCCATGGGTGAATCACAGCGAACCAACCTTCCAAGACCCTGGAACGGCGATGATGCAACTAAGAAGACGCTTACTGGACGTGAAGGAATGCGGTGTTGGAGGGGATGGGCAGGAACAAGGCCGGCAACCCCATCGGCGTCACTCGACTGGACCGAAGCCATGTTTGCATGGCTTAGAGCTGGGCCCGAGGCATAAGGACACCATAAAAAGACCAAGGAACAAAGATCATCTTGCACGTCTGGGGCAGGAACAACACAGCAAGCCTTGCCGAGCCTGACGTGACCGGGAACTTCAGTCATTTGAGAAGGGGTGTGTTGCTGGTGTTGCTGGGTGTCGTCGTTGTTCAGGTCGTGCGTGGATGCAAAGACGTCTCTGTTTGCGTCATCGGTCTCGCTCTAGTGTACTTCCTGAGCCACAGCATTCTTTTCCCGGTTGGGCCTCCACCGCCGCCGTTGGCTTGGGACCCACCGCAGAAACCCCGGGTCTAGCCCGACTAGTCGTCCATTGGATGACGCCTAACAAAACCTGTTTGGACGAAAGACGGCCAGAACAGGAGGACGACAGGGGTGCGGCGGCAAGTTTTGGGGAGCTCACAGCCACTCGAGACCCTGAAGGGTTCTGCTTCTGAGGTTGTTTACCGCCGCGACTCGTCTCCAGTAGTGTACTGTGTGTAATAGTGGGCCGAGGTGTGGCCATGCCTCCCAAGTCGGATCGTCCCTTTCTTGGTTGGATGTTCTCTTGGTTCCGGCCAGAGAAAAAGATGGGTTTAGTTGGTCCCATCTTGACGTGTTCGTCCAAAGAGGAGAGCCAAATTCGGAAACACTCGCCTTCTTCGGCACAATTGCGAAAAGCTTCACTTCACTCATGTATTCTTCATGTATTCTACGTTGCTCTTTAATCCTTGCGCTCTCGGAAGCCAGCAGCCCAGTGAATGGTATCTGATTGTTTCTCGTATCGCTTCCCTTGATTGCTGCGCTTATGCACCTTCCTCAATCGGACAATGTCTCAGGGGAAGAACCCTCCAGCTACCGTGCCGCAATTGCCGTCGAACGTTCTTTAAAAAGTGACCCCTCCCGCCCGCCAGCTCGACGCTCGACCATTCCCTTTTTCATCCCCAATTGCCCATCGAGCTGTATTTCACCTCAACCATGGCTACCTCATCCTCCATCGGATGCTCCCCAACCGCCGACGACGCTTTCGGCCCAATCGTGCAAAACTGCCGTGAGGGTTTCGACTTCACTTTGACCTTTGAACAATGCCTCTTCACAATCCTCCCAGCCTCCCTCCTCCTTCTCATCGCACCTCTCCGCCTCCGTCACCTCGGCAAATTCCCCCACGCCGTGACCGGCAATGCCCTCCGACTAACCAAACAGGCCGCCATCGGCACCCTCGCCGTGCTTCAAATCGTGCTCGTCGCGTTGTGGGCAACCCATCGTGACGCGGGCCGCCTGCGCACCGTCTCGATTGCTGCATCCTGCGCGTCCTTTGCTGCCACGGTCATGTTTGGTGGTCTCTCGTACATAGAACACGCGAAGAGCCTTAAGCCTTCGTCCATCTTGAATATATACATCCTCGTGTCCCTGGTGCTGGATGTAGCAATCCTCCGCACCGTGTGGCTGTCGCACTTAAGCGTCGCCATCAGCGCCGTCTTCTCCGCGTCCTTCGCGCTGAAGGCGGCCATCGTGATCCTCGAGGCCCAGGGCAAGACGCGGCACCTCGCCAGCGGTGGTCGGTCGTACAGCCCCGAGGAGACCAGCGGCATCTACAGCCGTGGTCTCTTCTGGTGGCTCACGCCCCTGCTGCTGACGGGATTCCGTCGTCTCCTGAAGCCGCTGGACTTGTTCGCCTTGGACGAGTCCATGTCGGCTGCGGTGCTGAATGAGAGGTTCTGGCTCTACTGGAACAAGTCGTCGTCCCCGACGGCCATCCAGTCAGACGGATCATCTCGTTCACAGCGTTATCGGCTCATCAGGACTTGCATCGTCACGCTCAAGTGGCAGCTGCTAGCAGTCGTCCTGCCGAGGATCTTTCTATTAGCCTTCACCATCTGCCAGCCTCTGGTCTTGAACCGGTTTCTCGACTTCCTGCAGAACCCGTCCCAGGATGTCAACTACGGCTACGGGCTCATTGGGGCATACGGCCTTGTCTACCTCGGGATTTCCGTCTCGTCGAGCTTCTACTGGCACAAGGCTTTTCGGTCACTGGCTATGCTCCGGGGTGTCTTGGTTGCTGCCATTTACTCCAAGACAACAGAGCTGCGAGTCGCACCCGGAGATGACTCCGCAGCGGTCACTCTCATGTCGACTGATGTAAGTCTTGGGCTGTAACTTGATCTTGCTTCTATGCTAACAGAGGTGTAGGTCGAGGTCATCATCCGCGCATGGCGCGAGCTTCACGAGTTTTGGGCCAACATCATCCAGATCGCCATTGCAACATGGCTTCTCAGCATACAAATTGGTTATGCGGCTTCCGGTCCGATCATAGTCTCCATCTGTGCTTTGATTGCCACCATCTTCTTCGCTCCCGCCACCAAAAAGTATCAGGTCGTCTGGGTTCAGAAGGTCCAAAAGCGCATCGGTATTCATCCCCTCCCACTGTCTCACACACCATACTTACCCGTGCAAAGGCATCACCTCAGCCATGATCGGCCACGTCAAAAGCATCAAGATGTCGGGTCTGACGCAGAAGCTCTCCCAGACCTTGGCAGACCTCAGACTCGCTGAGATGAAGGCAGCAACCCCCTTCCGCATCATTGGCGCCATAACCTCAGCCATCGCGCAGGTGCCTCTGATGCTCTCACCGATAGTTGCGTTTGCCATGTACACAGCGATCGCCTCCAAGACTGGACAGACTCTTGATGCCACCAGGCTGTTTGCTGCTCTGTCCCTGATTATTCTGCTCGCGAGCCCCCTTTTTTGGATGTTCGAGGTTGTCCTCGACATGAGTGCGGCTCTTGGATGCTTCAGTCGCATTGAGACGTACTTGTCCGAGTCGCCCCGGGTCGAGTATCGGTCGTTTCCTTCCGTCTCACAGCCCGAAACGCAGTCAACGGACACAGAAGAGTCTTACCAGGGGGTCCAACTTCAAGGTTTGAAGAAAACCGAAAAGCTGGTCTTGGAAGAGAAACCGAGCACAGGACCTGCTGTTACTGCGAAGACCGCGTCAATGAGCTGGAAACCAGATTCTAGCCCCATTCTGAGCGGTCTGAACTTTGAAGTACAGAGGGGCCAGCTAGCGATGCTCGTGGGGCCAGTTGCGTCTGGCAAAAGCACGCTCCTGAAAGGCCTCCTTGGCGAGTTGCCTCACGTCACTGGAAGAATCGAGCTTTCCAGTCAACGGATCTCCTGGTGTGAGCAGAGTCCCTGGCTGATCGTACGTGCGCCCTCTGAGGTATTGCAAGATATACGAGCTGACCGACTGAATAGAATGGAACTGTTCGAAAGAACATAATCTGTTTCTCCGAATTCGACGCACATCTCTACTCGCAGGTTCTGAAGGCCTGTGACCTTGAGAAAGACCTTGCTCAATTCCCAGATGGGGATCAGGCAGTCATCGGCAGCAAGGGTCTTGCCTTGAGCGGTGGTCAAAAACAGCGTGTTGTAAGTGACCCTCCAAGCAGCTTCGAACTTCAAACTGACGACGCACAGGCACTTGCAAGAGCTATCTATTCACGTCCACAGATCGCCTTGTTTGATGACATCTTCAGCGGATTAGATAACCAAACTGCCAGTGTCGTGTTTCAGCGTGTCTTCAGTGCCGATAGAGGCATACTCAGGGCCTGGGGAACATCAATCATCCTTGCCACCCAGTCAGGTATAAACCCACCTCCCTCCTTTTCAATCAGCAAGTCTGAAGTAGGCGTATGACTAATGATGTTCGAAGTGAACTTTCTGTCCCGGGCAGACGTGATCATCACCCTTGGAAACGGCGTAATCGCAGAGATGGGAAGTTTTGAAGATTGCAAGAACACAGAAGGCTATGTCAGAAGCCTCCTTACATCTGTATCCGATGATAAAGCCGGAGACGAAATTCAGGCAGATGAGGCTGCTGATGAAACTGCTTATAAAGTCCCGGCAGAGAAGAAGGCCAAGGTGGTTCAAGAGCAGAAAGACAAGCGGCGACAGTTGGGCGACTGGAGCGTCTATGGCTACTATTTCGGCAGCGTTGGAAGTGTTTTCGTCGTCATCATGCTTTTCCTCGAGGTGACTTGGGCGTTCTTTTCGACTTTCCCGAGTAAGTCGATTTCATCGTCTGACCCTTTCGCGGCCTTACTGACAACAAGCACCAAGCTATTTGGCTGAAGTTCTGGACGGACGCCAATGCCGAGGCTCCAGGCCAACGCGACGCCTACTACCTCGGCATCTATGCTGCTTTACAGGTCGGGGGTGTCTTCAGCTTTGCCGTTCTTATATGGTAAGCCCGTTATGCCATTGATGCACGTAGCTTACCACCCATATTAATATTACACCGTTAGGTTCGTGCTTGTTCCGATCGCTGCGAAGTCCGGAGTCAACCTGCATCAGAGACTCCTCAAAGCCGTTATGCAGTAAGTTTTGCTCTCTATCTTGAGTAAACGGCGGCAGAACTGACTTCCTTCATAGTGCTCCTCTGTCCCTCTTTACGAGCACTGACATTGGGTCTATCACAACTCGGTAAGCAACGAAGAACTCACTTGGAACTCGTGCTAGCACTTCTAACACGTTTCAGCTTTTCGCAAGACATAGGCCTGATTGACCGAAACTTGCCCTTAGCATTGGTGGTATCCATCGCAAGTAAGACATCGTGGTACCTGTATCCTTCTGTGCCTTGATGAAGCTGACCTTGGTTATCCCAGGCTTCTTCACCTGTATCGGTAAGGCCTTCCTCATAGCATCGGCCTCGTGGTACATTGCCATCAGCTTCCCCGCCCTGATTCTCGTCTTCTACTACATCCAGCGAGCCTATCTCCGCACCTCCCGTCAACTCCGTCTCCTGGACCTCGAAGAGAAAGCCCCAGTCTAGTAAGCCACTAAACCGATCTCAAAAAGATACTCTTTCAACTAACACGAGCACCCAGCACACACTTTTTGGAAACACTCTCAGGCCTGCGGACCCTCCGCGCCCACGCCCTCACCAATCCCTCCATCAGGCACTCCTACACCCTCATCGACCGTTCCCAGCGGCCCTTCTACATCCTCCTCCTCACCCAGCAATGGCTAACCCTCGTCCTCGACCTCACGACCGCCGCCCTCGCCGTCCTGGTTGTCGGTCTCGCCGTCCGCCTGCGCGCCACGGTGTCCGTCGGCCTCACGGGCGTCTCTCTCGTCCAGCTCATCTCCTTCACCGAGACACTCAAAATGCTCATCCAGTTCTGGACCGCGCTCGAGACCTCCATCGGAGCCGTCGCGCGCATCAAAAACTTTTCCGAGGAGACGCCCGACGAGGTCGAGGACGATGCTCTGAGGAGGGGACTGGTGAGCCTTCCCGAAGGGCGGGAACGGGTGTCAGAGACAGACCTAAACGGTTGGCCTGACAGTGGCGCCATCGAGCTCCGTGATGTTTCTGCTTCATACGACGTGCCTGACCAGAACGACAACGACGACCAAGCCACGAAGATGAAAGCTCTGGACGGAATCTCCCTTTCCATCCGCCCCGGCGAGAAGATTGGCATCGTGGGCCGCACGGGAAGCGGCAAGTCCTCTCTCCTCCTCGCCCTCCTGCGCCTCCTGCCCTGTCTTCCGGCACAATCCTCATCGACAGGCTGCCCCTGCATTCTCTTCCGTTGCTGCCCCTGCGGTCGGCCCTCATCGCCATCACCCAGGACCAGTTCGTCCTCCCCGGGACGGTGCGCCAGAACCTTGACCCCCTCGGCACCGTCTCCGCGGACGACGCCGTCGTCGAGTCGGCGCTCGTGCGTCTCGGGCTTTGGGACGCAATCCGCGAGAACGGCGGGCTGGACACCGAGTTCAAGGAGGAGACGCTGAGCCACGGGCAGAGGCAGCTCTTCTTCCTCGCCAGGGCGATCCTGAGGAAGGACGTAGGACGGGTGGTCCTTCTGGACGAGGCGACGAGCAGGTACGTTTCCGTCCCCCCACCCCTTTCCAAAGACAGCAGTGTACCTAACGCAAAAACTAGCGTCGACGCACACACCGAGCGGACGGTCAAAGACCTCATTCGCAAGGAGTTCAAGGACCACACCGTCATCGCCATTGCTCATCGCCTGGAGACGGTCATCGACTTTGATCGCGTCGTGGTGCTGGACAAGGGCCGCGTTGTCGAGGTCGGGAACCCCAGGATCTCTTGCTACAGGCGGGCGGAAGGTTTAGGGATCTCTGGAACGCGAGCCAGCAAAGCGGAAGCCACGATGCTTAGTCCCAAAGGGAGAACCCTCGCTCATCTACGGAAGACTGTGCTCAGCTCGGATCGGGGTTTCAACTTGTTTTCCTTTGTGGCATACGTGACTATCTGTCATCTAGCTTATAAAGTGCAACCGCGCATTATCTACGGGATCGCTATCCACATTGATGAACCTGCCTTTCCCAGCTCTTTGCGCCACAATGTATTTTTCAACCGACTTGGCCATCTCGGCCGTCTCGCGATAACGCTCGGAATCCGCAATCGGCGTGTCCTCGCTCACGTCATACCCGTACCTCAGTTTCAGTGTCAAGACCTTGCCCCAAGGCCCCGTCCAGTCGACTTTATCGCCGTCGACATTGGCCATGAGCGCCTTGAACCACGCCCCGCAGCCCGTGAGATCGAGATACTCGAGCCCGTAGAGGCACTTGCTCAGCTTCCTCAGCAGGATGACGGCCTCGGACCAGTCATCGTCGAGGGTGTGCGCGTACGCCCCCGTGCCAGAGTACTGCTCCGTCCTACCCTCGGGCGAGACGATAGTGGAGAACTTGGCGTTGGGCGTCAACGACGGCTCGGGCCAGTACGCTAGACTCAGGTGCGTGAGCGTAGGTAGCTTAGCGGCGAGCGCGAGGAGGTGCTTCCACGACACGCCGGGCCCACCGCCCTGCTGGTAGACGCTCGGCGTGACGGCGAGGCAGAGGTGCGTAATGTTGGGGAGGAGCTTCGGGGGCAGCGACGGCGCTTCTGACGTGTCCCAGGAGTCTTGTACCGCCTCAGACGCGCGCGCCAGCTTCTGCGGGAAGAGAACATCCGACAGCTCCCTGACGGACATGGAGTGGCCCACCGAGCCCGTCAGGTCGAGGAAGTAGATGTTGCTGTTCAGGGACACGAGCGCATCGACCTCGACCTGGTGCTGCTGGTGCTCGCTGTCACCCTCGTGCTCCGAAGGAGGAGGAGGGGGAGGGACCAGGATGTTGCGCAGGTCCGCGGGGGACGCGCCGCCCTCGTACCAGACGCCAACGTACTTTGCCAACGAGGCCCTGACTCGGCTGGGCAACGTGTGCAGGTAGTACTGGTCATAATCGCTCTGGACCTCCCAGTTCAGGGCCATCCTGCGCAAGACAATGTCCATCAGGCTGCCTTTGTCCGGCTCGTACGTCCCCGGCAGGCCCTGGATGGCCTGGGCGCCGCGCAGGGCGGCGGTCGCGTGTGCGTGCTTGACATGGCTGGACGATCGCGACAGCCAGCTGCGTGGAGGGGGCGGGCCCGGTGGTACTCTCCTGCCTGAAGCGTCGAATCTCGGGACACGCCTGGGCGGCGGTGGGGGCGTCTCTGGAATCTGGAGGATCTGTCGGAGGGCCGGCGGGACGGTAGGAGCGGTGACAGCGGATGATGCTGTCGATGCTGTCGAGGTAGCACGAGGGGAGGATCGGCGGAGATCGGCCAAGAGTTCGTTGACGCCCTTACGTTGGCTCTCTGTTTGTGTTGCTTCGCTGTCAGTTACAAGAGCGCGACGTCACGCAGGGAACCTTCGGTGAAGGAGAAAGACGGGAGATGGGCAGGGAGAGGGGTGGGCGGGGGCCAGGGGCCGGGGTGTGTAGAATCGGAGTATGGACTGACGAGCAGAAGAAGAGGCTGAAGCTGAGGCACCCAATGATGATGGGGCAGTCGACTGCGGCTTCGAGTATAGCGCCTGGTGCCTTTTCTTAGGCATGCCCAGGAGGAGTCCAGGTACGAGGCGGGGGCGGGGGGGAGGCTGGAAGTAAAAGCTTCCAGGAGGAATAGAAAAGGGCTGAGAGAGGCCGAGAGAGGCCGAGAGAGGCCGAGAGACTCTGTGAGTAGGAGAGAGGGTGGAGGAGCAGTCGCAATTGCAGAGAGCAAACAAACTTTTGGCGGACTTTTGTCGCTATGTACTCCTCTCTGATGCTGCAACCAGTTTGTGTCTGCCCGAATTGTCAGCAACGAGATGAGTCGAAATGCGACTGTTAGTCACAGCCCCAGTCAGCATCGAGGCTCAGGTAGGGAGTGTGTGTTGGAGTCATACTTTCCAATGGAGTTTATTGCTTACTATGTACTTCCGAAAAAGGACTAGCATTTGAGGGGACCGGATCGTAGGGCGGTAGTAGCGAGCGTGGCTTGGAGGGGAACAACGTTACAAAACGTCATGCTGAAATGGGATAAGCCTCCGCCCTGTTTGTCAGCGTGCGCAGGAGCACGTTCAACGCGCTAAAACAGTCTGCCTTATCTACTGAATCCACTGAATGACTCTTCGCCCTTCCGCTTCCGAGCTTCGACAAACACATGGTCTAAGCGTTCGGATGCGGAAGAGGGTGCCTCGGTCCGGACACGGGAAAGGATCCACTCCGCCGGCCGACCTTCGGAAGGACAATGACGAGACCCACCTCAAGGCTAAAGAACCAGATGGACTCGGGCCTCCCTTGCAACAACAAGAACCTACCCGGCCCGACTGATGGGGCTTCCACAACCATTACCCCCCCCCCACCCGGGCTGTTCCTAGGCCATGTGTGAGCTGAAAGTTCCCGCAAGCCCGCGCAACATGCGGGTTAGGGGCTAGAGCTAAGAGTATCTTAAAGTTTCAGACTACACCCGCCAGCCCATGTGGTACGAACCTTGATGCTATGTTTCAGCGTCCGAAAGGGTCAGACGTGATCTCGCTGGCCCTGTCACGCCCATGCCCCATTCAGATATAGAGGTGCACAGTCGCCGGGTGAACTTTGAGCAAGCACTCGTGCAAAACATTTGGCCTGGCCCTGGGCGCTGACGCCTTGGCGAGCAGAGTTGGTGCGGCCCTCAGTGGAAGGGTAACGAGCCATTACTACATTCCATGAGATAATACGCCTCGTTGGAAACCCATCAAGAATAATATGTTGCGGTTGAATTACTGTCCAGTACATGTGAGCCTGAGTTGAGCATGACAGGTTCCCGGTGCTAAGGACGCCGGCCGCGCTGAACAACGCTGATAATCCGCCCTCTGCATTCCGGTTTGGCGCCCGTGTGGGATGATTTTTTTTCTCCTGCATCCGCCATGTTTGCCGAAGATCACTGTAGTTGTCCTGTTCGCCAACTCCAGCCTCGTGGCCAGGCAGTGTTTGTGTAGCACTTCAAAGCCTACCCCGGACTCAAAGCGGCTTGTCTTTCAGCTGCTCCTGCCAGAATTTGTCTTAAACCAGGCGTAACAATGGATATATGTAGTCTGAATACCATAAACATCGGGTGCCCGCAGTCATCGGCTTTGCCAATGTTGGCTTTCTCACGGCGCCATTGGCTTGCAGCAGCGATGAGTCAGTGACCCGTTGAAGATGGCGCTTGCGTTTTGCCCAATCGAGGGCCGTATGACCTCTGGTCAGTTGTCGACGTACAAGCAGTGACCGTTGTCTTATCCGAGCAGACCAGCCGCGGCTAAGAGATGCTGTGGCCTGCCTCGATGTAGAGAAGGTTGACAGCCGATGGATCCATCACGAAGATCCTGTTCAACGTTGCATCCACAAAAGCCCATGCGTGGCTCACCCCCGACAGGCGAGCCTGAAACTGGTCTGGTGAACAACGTGCGCAGAAGCTGCACACGGTGTTTGCTGTTGGTTAACCCGAGGTGCGCGCCATTTTGACTTTTCGTATGCCCGTCAAATCGAAAGACGGCGAACATGCTGCTAGCCTTGGAGAAAGGCTTTTGGCAGCCTGGGCTCTCGCCAAGGGTAGCTCATACCGACCCAGGGTTGGTGGCCATGGCGATTGACGGCTTTTGCTTCATGTCCGTCCAATCATTATCCCCTAGTCCAATGGGAGACGTTTGAGGGGAACTGGGATGTCTTGCAGAGCATGGTCAGGGGGTCAATCATGAAGAAGATACATGGCGCCCGATGGCAAGAAGTTTGGCGAGCGGAGCCTTGTACTATTAACCATCTAAGTTTGACGGTCCCAATGTGGAAAGAGAAAGCGAACAAATACGGAAGGTTGGGTCCCTAAAATGACCAGATCCGATACCAAAGCAGAAATAGGGCAACGTGGTAAGCTCCCTACCCTCAGGTGGCTACCAGGGAGAGGCTTTCGGTGAATGTTCAATCGAGACCCACGGATGCTGTGACGATCCCAGGGGGATGGCTCCGAAGAAGCCGTTCATCTGCTCCGTGTAGCGCCAAAAGTGGTGAAGACTATAGTACCTCCTACCGGCGCTGTAATACGTGAACCCCCGGTCCACATGTCTTTACAAATGACTAGGCAGGCTGAGTATCCAGAGCAGCACGGTGAGCATTTCTCGGAATGAGGGCCCGGCACTCCAAAGTAAAAGACAATGACTGACTCCTCTCCAAGTGCTACATCGCGAGCATGTTCACCGAGACAGCCGATCCCTTGGCTCTTCCTATGTAAGTGACATGAAATTCCAGGACGTGGATGTCATTTCAGCTAGCGCCCTTCTTCGTGTTACCTAGGCTTGCAAGTACCGCACCAGGGGGTATGTTGTTGCAAGTCAGTGGCGTAAGACCCGTAGCCACGATACCTGGATTCGAGCCTAGGGGGCTTTCCTGTCACTGGAATGACGCAGACGGGCCTAGACCGGCAGCTTGATCGAGAAATAGTCAATCCGCTTTTTTAGCCAGGGTTTCACGCTGGATGGGTTGCCCTTGCGTGAGAAACGAAGCTCGACAGAGAACGACCTTCGAGGGATGGAAGCTACCGGGGCGTGATCCGCCGTAGAGCCAGATCCAGGCACTCCCCATGCCCTCACCGCTTCTTTGAGAATTTCACAAGGCAACCAGCATATTGGGTCCTTCTGTTGTGAGCCGCATAGATACGGAGATGGGATCGTCGAAGGCCGAGGGCCCGAACACTGGAGTGGAAACAGATGAGACGCGACAAGCCGCTGTCAACTCGCTACCCCAGCCAGGTCTCGTCCGTACTGCCGTTTCCCGCCTTCGCCCGGGTTATGAAACGAATGCAAGCAAGTCAACCAGTTGTGAAAAAGGCCCTGTTGAGGCTTTACCCTCTCAAGGGTAGTATTCGGAGTCATCACAACATCTGCAAGATGAGCTTTGTAGGGCCAGAAACTTCGTAAACATACCTGAGTTGTTGCAGTCGACTATCCTACAAGGATTGAATTCTGCCAAGGTAGAGCTGGCAAAAGCCCAACGGATCCGTGGGCCATTCGTGGTTTGCCTTGCAAGGATGTAAGCCGGCATGCACGAGGGTCGATCCGTTTGGCTCCTGGATGTGGCCCTGCAAGAGTTTCGTTATCTGGCAGGCCAAGCAAGCAAATAGGGGATGCCAACGGCCAGATGCCTGAACCGGATAGTCAGCGATAGATTGATGTCTAGATGAGTGGTATGTCTCCGGTAACTTCGCAGCGAATTGGGCCAAAGAGAAAACATGTGGCAAGCCGCGGTAAGGTACCAGGGAGGCCCCAGGGGTACCTGGTAGTACACGGGACTGGTTGGGAACACCTTCCGGCCAAGACTCATGCTGAGTGGTCCTGTTTTAATCAGAAGTATAGCTGGAACAGGTCACGTAGAAGAAGCGTCTTTTGTTCGAGAATGAGTAGAGACCTGTCCGTCCAAGCAGCGGGCTTGCTCGCTATCAGACCGTGGTACCCTAGTTGTTGGTGTCAGAAGCTGGCTCGGGTTGGAGGGTTGTTGGGATAGACGGCCAAGGTGGATGACTCTGGTCATTGTGGCAGTGACTCGAAGGCTGATAGAGGAATGGAGTCGACATTTCGAAAGCTCATGGCGGCATTGTTGTCGTTTGCGTCCTCGCTGGGCCCGAGTGACTCTTGTTTGTCCAGCAAACCATTGTTTCCAGGCACAAGGGCCAGCGCAGCACCAATCCAGAGGGATGGTGTGAACAATATGGTAAGGTAAAGTGCGATGGAGACCAAACCTCCCTCGGTGGGGAGGCATGAAGCCTGAAGGCGGCGCGATGCGGCGGGGTCAAGAAATAAGATATCCTGGGAGCGGAGAGTCGGTGAATGCCTCGGAGCGGCAATGGCGGCGAGAAATGCAGCGAGCCAGGGAAACGAAAGCGTCGGGTGAGGTCCTAAGTGCGTTCGCCCAGCAGTCAATCCAAGAGGATATGTGATCGCGAGTCTGTGGTTTGAGGTGGAAGACGATGGATGTCCTGGAGCTTACCTTGGCAGCGAGTGCACAAGAGTCAGCAGAGATACACCCTCCGCCACCTTTTCATTCCTTACTTGAGCCATGCAAAGGCACCCCGCATGATCAGGCTGAAGGCATTGAAGAAGGAGAAGAAAGCACTCTACCTTGCGCTCCTTTCCGTTAA